GCATCAATAGAAGACAAATTCTCGCCATTAGGATGCACGGAAGTTGAAAGCAGAATTTTTTAAACGGAGCAGTTGATTTGTTCGCTTGATTTACGGTAATTACTGCACGCCAGTGATTTTACAATCCTTTCATCCGATGTCTGACGCCGGAAATTTGTTAATATTAGTAGTCTGCCACAAAGATGCAAGGGAACTTACAAAGAGGAATTTTTAAAAACGGATTCGCTCAAACTGGAGAGGCTTAAAAGCATCCAACATTAACATCTGACCTCAGTAGAGTTTGACTTTCAGAAGAGAACTTTGACTAATCATTTTCGATGGCAGTTTTGACTTGTTGCTGTGGCTGCAGCCTCCGTGCAGGTGTTCAGACTATCGGAGTCTTCTACCTGGTAAGTTCCAGCAGTTATTAATCGTATAACCATCTGAAATATCCTTCTGCTTTTCATACCATAGTAATGGTAGTCTTTTATTTAACGATTCTCGCTATTTCGTAAAAACCGCGAACTTTAAGTACGGCGAAAAGTATACTTATAGCAAAGATTAGCCGTGCGGGAATTTGTTAAGTCGCGTTGAATAACTACACGACTTTTAGTGCATAGTTTTCAAAACGTTTTTCTCTGGTCAATCGCGACTGTATTGTTATCAGTAAAATGCCGTAGAAAAAATTTGTCAACGTCAACGCTGAGACATATGCACATTCTGAAATTTTAGGACGAGCAACTGCAACTTCATAACAGCACTTTTATTCGGTAAAGCAGAAACTGTTTCACGGTAAAATGAGATGTTGCAGCTGAAATTCATACTTTAAAGTAAAGAAATGTTCCTCGCTGGTGACCTGCTGATAAAGAAGTCGTAGACTGAGAAAAGAAGCTTAAAAAACTTAAGGCTTCAACAATATTAGTAGGAGTACCTCTCAGATTCTAGTCATTCGCTGCTATCAACTGAGCTACGAAACTTCATGAATGATGCGAGGCAAATTCTATCGAGCTCTTCGTTCCTTTGGGGGATCTGATATTAAAACAGAAATCACATTTTGACCTGCGCGTGAGCTGCAACGAAAGAAACTGAAGTACTGAATACCTAGTGGCTGGTATGACACGGCGTTTCGTTTCGGCCAATAGACTCATTGGTTACCTTTCGAAATGTTTGAAGCCAACTCGTTGCACTTCGTGCTCACAGCTCGAGAATTTAAGATGTAAAGGCTTCGAATTGATCGGTGTACAATACTTGTAGTCCAAGGGTGTTTTTATGTTTGAAACGTAGCGTCTTCCTTCCTCGTCACAAGTGACTGAACTTCGTTTGAAATTCAAACTTCCTTGACATGATCTGCTGGTTAATTCAAAAGATAGAAATTTAACTCGCTAAATGGGTTCTTTTCAACATAGTAAATGGTCAGATAACAAGCAATGCACTGTGAAAGTAACTGAGGTAAGGTATTTGTGTCGAGAATTTGACTGCATCTTTTAAATTCCTTATGGCGGTCGTAAATATTTCCATACAAACATTTTATAAGTTTACAAACTCTTTACAATTTCGCTATCAATCTTATTTAGCTGGATCTCATAGCTGGAGCTTGGGCCGCATGTAGTAAATTTATATTTGTTTTAGTATATCAAATCTGACCTGTAGTTGCGTTTCTATTTATATTTCAGATTGCATCAGCTATTTCAATTTATCAACAAAATCGTTCTATCCAAGTTTACGAGGATTTAGTGGGGAACGCTGACGAAAATTTGCCTTTCAGCCAAGAGAACATCCTGGGTATTACAGTTTACTTTTGTCTTGTTCCGTAAGAATCTGTTAGAAAGAACGTGTGGTTAGGACGAAAATATTTTCATTTGTAAGGTTATTTGTTCAATTGTGTGGGGTTTTTTTATTACTTTTAATACATATTTTTAATTGGTTCGTGATCTTGTGTGAAAATGAAAGTTCAGCTAATATTAAAAAAAAAATGACCAAACCTTTTTTTGCACTGAAACGTGTCGTCCCACTCAAGGTTCACCCTTATTTTCTGGTTATTTTTTGACTGATTAATTAATTGATTATTTCTCTTTAATGATCATCTGAAAATGAAGCGATCGTCGTACTGGGTTATGTTTACCTCGTATTCAGAGTCATCTCACTGTTGGCGACCCTGTTGCTTCTGGGATCCTGCGGCTCAGTAAGTCCAACACACTAATTTCTAGGAACATAATTTTAGCATGTAACTGAAAAGAGTCCAGGAAGATAAAAGATTATGATAAAATTTGTCTCAGAGGTCCAAATTTAGTCGTCGACTTTTTTTTTCTACTCGTCATGGCGACCCAAACAGTCGCAGCTTGAAGCGCTGACTTTTTATTTATTTATTTATTTATTTATATGGTAGTTTACGTCACTGATCATCGTTGTTTTTCGTCGCAGGGTGACTGGCGTTTGGCATATCCTTGGCTTTGGTGGAGCAGCTTCGAGCTCTTATCCAATTTTGTAGTGGTAATATATTACATTACCATCTGGAAATGGGTAAATTCAAACAAACTTTTCTTTTTTTATAAAGTATTAGTAGAGAGTTTTTCCACGAACTTAACATGATTTCTGTTTCCTTCTATGTTGCAGTTTCTTTTCGCTGTAATTATTTACGCCGTTGAATGGTGTCTGTCGGTATGTTCTGTTTCAGTCTTAGAGAAATTTTTAGTTGAGAGTAGAAAGAGACTCGAGATTGCATTGATTTTGCATTACTTCGCTTTGTGATTGGTCCAGAAAACTCACGCCACTAACCAGTCAGGCGCAAAATTAAAACCAATCACAACTTGGTCGCCCGCGTTTTCCCGCGCTTTAGTCACTCTAGTTGTTTTTACTTTGAATTCTAGCTGCCTCTTCAAGGTATTTTTTCTTTTTTCTGATTGGCTGTCGTGATTACTTAACTTATGTTTCATCACACTCAGTCGAAAATCGCTGTATTAACCAGATACTCTTAAATTGAAGGTGGCTTGGGTCTGAACTCACTGTCTCCCTTTTTTTCCCCAAGATTTACTTCATCGTCGTGGTGTATTCGTACATCAAAGCCCTTCGTGAAGATCCTTCGGGAGCGAGTGTAGGATTTTCTCCTCCTCTGACAGGTGTTAACCAAACCCAGATGGTAATTACATTTCCATTGTTTTAATGCTACATGACCTTTGAAGTCAAATTCACTATGAATATTTTTGTGTTACTGAGCAAAAGTACGCTACGATAGCAGATGGACTAACATTCCGAATCATTTAAGGGCAAAGGTGGTCGATCTTCGACTGTCAAAGCTATTAGAATCGGTAATAGGAGCGAGTGGAGTCCAATTCGGTCTGTAATCATACGAGTGATTAAGAAAATGGGGCGACCGCGAGGCGGGAGTCCGATTTTGCCAATCACGCTGAAAATTCATATTAGCTCAGGTCTACCGGCAGCATTTTCATCTCAGCATATTTAGACTGGTAATCCGACATGAGAATTCTTTTATCCGAACGACTGCCTTTCCTGCGAAGCAATTTTTAGCTGAAAAGTGCCAAGGTTCAAACTGTTCACTGCTACTCTGCCTCTCAATTTACCTTGGGCTGCGCTATTGAAATGGTCAATTGGTTTGTATGCGAACGATTGAGTTTTTTCCCCATCTATACCAGAATAAGATTAAGTGAGCCCAGTTGTTTAATGAATTCCATGAGTAGCTTTTGTTTAATCATTTAACAGGCTGGAATGGCTGAATCTCCTCCAAACGCAGAATCCCAGGAGAACACTGTGTAAACTCAGCAGAACATTGTGACTGTCCCAAGTGATTACTGATCATCATTTTAATTTAAAATTGTTGGAAAGGCTAACTAGCTTGAACTGAGTATAGCTGTAGATAATATTTTTCTCTAATTGACAGCAAGGAGGATTAAGAGAATGGTCATTATTTATCGTGGTGGGTCAGGTGGGTCAGAGGAGTTTGGTTGTGTCAAAATAACATTTACCTGACTCTACACTATTCTATTGACACCCTACCCCCAGGTTTGCAATGCGTTTTCTATAGTCCCCCTCCCCGCCTTATACTTTGTTGGCGACGACTAATTCCCTCTCTGTTCCCCCTGAAACTATGCGATCCCCTAAAAAAAAAAAGAAGACTCTGCCCATTCCTTCCCCCTGAGGAGAGATGTGGGACAGATATTTAGGATTTTCATCGCTGTTATAAGATGAATGAAATTAAAGCGTTAAAATATTCGAAGTGATGCGAGAAACTAGCTTCTCAGAAGCTTAAAAAAAAACGTAGATGTATATTGTAAAAGTAAAATGGTCGATACGTTTTGCACTGTGGTATAAGGGGTAACTTTTTTTAAGAGCCCTAGAATAAACTGCTTTTTGGTAAACTTCCTTAAATTTTATATTTTTTCTGAAAAAAAGGCTCAGAAAAAAAAAAAAAAAAAAAAAAAAACTGTTATTGATATCACCATTTAATTTTTTTTCTTGGAGGGCATGGTAGCGAGTGATTGGTTCTTGGCGCGGTCCATGTTTTCCTATCTCTGCCCAATGGCACATTAACGCTTTCGTGAGTTGCCGCGTACATCCCTATCTTCGTTACCATTTTTTATAAATATACCTTTTTTTTTCCGGCTGTGCAGTATTTTTAAGCAGAACACGTTGGTCACTACCTCAAGCCGATAAATAACTTATTAATCCTCTCTTTTCTCTCTCTCAAAAATCACGTTCGTTGACAGAGAAATATTGGTTTCAAAATGAATTTGTAGAGCCAAAATTGTCATTAAATTGGTTGACGAGTGGCCTAAAAACCGTTTTTATCATATAAACTACGGCGTTAAACAAGTATTTCCAGCCCCGAGAAAAGCCGTAACAACATACCTAAAAATATATCGTATGTTTCCATGTGTGTATGAAACCGCCAATCAGCTGCTGACACGTCACCCGCCTTTCGCGCCACTCGGTCAGGTTCAGGTTGATGAAAGAACGGTGAAGCCTTCACCATTCTCAATCCAAGGTCGTTTGTCGGATTATGACTGCTAAAACACTGAAAAACCCGTATCGCTTTCAGACAGTGGCGTTCAAGCTTTTCTAGAAGGGGAAGAAAACCAAAATACGGAAAGAAATACGAAAGTTACGAATTCGGTGGCTTTAGTAATGGAATTTCTCGGGGCTGACAACGAAAATCAACTACTGGAAGATTTGTAACAGGCCGAGTTTAGCTGTGTACCTGAAATATTTCTTGTATAGTACTTCTTATTTCGCCGGAAGCCATTTGTTACAACGCACTTTGATTAAAATATCAATGATGAGGACTTTACCCTTTCGTGCGTGCGGGAAGTAAAATAATTCAATCGTGGAATGAAATCAGCGGTAACATTAAAGCTTTTTTTGATGTTTGAAATGTTACCGCTATGTTGCGCGAATAAAATAAGACACAAATTGCAATGAATGATTCACAAATTAATGTGCTGTTGTCATGATTTTAATTTTGTCTTACCAACGGAAGACTTAATACCAAAAACTTCTTATAGGTCTGCGTGTACAGTAAAACGGAACAATTTCTAAAAGCATCACCTTTCGCTGAAGTAAATCAGTTCCCGATCGAGACTGCCTTTTTTCCTTTATTCAAAAGTGCCTGTGACGTGTATTGAACTGAAAGCTGCTAATTCAGCGACGCGCTTTAAACTGAATACCTACCTAAATAACTGAATTACCTAACAATTAAAACAAAATGCATTGGCCTGTGAAATTAAGTCTGTGGGAAATCACATGAAAAGCTTCTCCAGAAATACTGACATAGCAAAATAACCTGATGGTGACATAATCTTGGCTGCTGACCTTGCTTAATACGAAAAAAAAAAAAAAAAAAAAAAAGCCACTGATTGCACCACCGTTTCATCTTCACGTTTTGACTCCGGAAGGACGTTACGTTGAAAGAGAAATATTTTATATTGATCTTCAAAGTGAAAGTTCAGAAAGGTTTAAGAGCATCCAGCAGCTACGCTTGAACCAGTTCAGTTGAGTTTGACGTTCAGAAGAGTAACTTCGCCTAATATCTTCGATGGCAGTTTTGGTGAAAACTTGTTGCTGTGGCTGCAGCCTCCGTAAAGATGTTCTTATTCTCGGAATCTTAGGCCTGGTAAGTTGCAGCAGTTATCAATCGTATAAATATCTGAAATATCCTTCTGCTTTTCACACCCTCGTAGTGATAGTACCTGGTTTAACGATTTTCACTATTTCGTACAAATCGCGAACTTTAAGTTCTGGGAAAAGCATGCTCAGAGCAAAGATTAGCCACGCGGAATTTTATTACGTCGCGTTGAATAATTACACGAATATTACTGCATAATTTTTAAAATGTTTTTTTCTGCTCAATAACGGCTATATTTTTACCAGTAAAATGTCGTAGAAAATAATTTGTCAACGTCAACGCAGAGACATATGCGCATTCTGAAATTTTAGGACAAATGAACAATTCAGTACAAACTTTTCAGTATTCGGTCAAAAACGGGCATTCAAGAATAAATTGTTTCACGGAAAAATTAGATGTTGCAGCTGCAACTAATACTTTGAAGTAAAGAAATGATCCTCGTTGTTGACCTACTGATAAAGAAAAGAAGCTGGGGAAACTTCAGACTTCAACAGCATTCGAAGGTTTACCTCTCAGATACAAGTCATTCGCCGCCATCAATTGAGTTACGAATCTTCATGAATGGAGCGAGACGAATTCCATCGGGTTCTTCGTTCCTTTAAAGGAATCTGATTTTACAATAGAAATCATATTTTGATCTTGGGATGATATTAAAGTAAAGACTCGATCAATGCAGGTGAACTGTTACTAAAGAAACTGAAGTACGGAAGACCTCGTGGCTGGTGTGACGCGGCCTTTCGTTTCGGCCAATAGACTATCGGATAACTTTAGGAATTTTTGAAGCTAACTCGTAACTCGTTGCACTTCGCGCTCACAGTTCGAGAATTCAAGATGTTCCTCTATAACAGAAGGATTTTCAACCGCAGTTTTACTAGTTACAATTTTTTCAAAAATCATAAGAGAAGAAGCCGGAAAAATGAAACCACACACGATTCGAACGCAGCACTTTCAGCTGGGCCCCCCTTCAACTGTGCAATGAAATAGCATATTCTGGAAGTGTAATCATAGAGAATAACACATAGGCGCGCTTAGATACGGAATTTCTCTTTAAGTGTGCAATTCGATAGCTCACGAGTGAGATATCGAGTTGAACACTCAAAAAAAGAAACTCCATATCTACAAGCAACCATGTATTGTTTACTTTATTATATAAACACAATAGCCCTTCACTGACAAGAAAAGTCGACTTAATTAATTAGCGAATCGACAATTCCTGACTAAAAGTTGTAAAGTGAGTTTGCGCTTAGGCTGAAGATGAAAAATGCTTTGAGTCAGTATAAAAACAACAATGGGCCTAGTTTTAATACACAAAATTCTCAGTTACCGACTTTGTCCTTAGCGACAGAAGAAATCTTTCAGGTACTACATCGATGTTGAGGGTTCGAATTGATCGGCACACAAATATGTGCATTCCAACTCGTCACAAATGACTCAAGTTAGTTTGAAATTCAAACCTTCGTATGTTTTTCTGGTTAATTCAAAAGAGAGCAATCTATATTAGCTGTGTTATATCAAATCTGATCTGTAGTCGCGTTTCTTTTTATATTTCAGATTGCATCAGCTTATTCAATTTATCAACACAGTCAGTCCATCAAAGTTTACTTGAAACATCTAGAGGAGAACGGTGACGAAATCAGCCAAGATTTACATTTCAGCAAAAAGCATTTCCTGGGTATTAAAGTGTACTTTTGTCTTGTTCCGTAAAATCTGTTAAAAAGAACACATGTTTGGCTAGGATGAAAATATTTCCATTTGTAGGATCATACGTAAAATTGTGTGGGGTTTCTTTATAATTAGTGACGCCAATATATATTTTACATAGTTGTTAACACTAAATTACCTGCTATATTTTACATTGGTTCGTGATCTTGTGTGAAAATGAAAGTTCCACAAATAATTTTTAGAAATGTTTAAACCTTTTTCTGCAAAATGAACCTTCCCAGTCAGACAAGGTTCTCTCGCATTTTCTGATTATATTTTCACTGATTAATTGATTGATGCACTTTTTTTTAATGATTATCTCTAAATAAAGCGATCATCAGATTGGCTTATGTTTCCCTGGTATTCGGAGTCATCTCACTGTTGGTGAACCTGTTGTTTCTGGGATCCTGTTGCTCAGTAAGTCCAACGCACTAATTCTAAGCACGTAACTTTGGCGTGTAACTGAAAAGAATTTGAGAAGATTAAAGATTATGATAAAATTTATCTCAGAGGTACACAATAATTCTTCTTCTAGAAATTTAAAACTAGCCGGTACAGTAGGCAATGAAAACGGCTTTTCTAAGTCAAAAGTCATTAATTAAGGTTTTGTTTCGCTGAATAGTTTTTGTAGGTTTGTTTGTTTTTTCTTTCATTTTTATGCATTAGATAAACGATAGTCTCTATTTGGCGCAAAAATATGCACGGATACTCGGCAGTAAACATGATCTCTTCCGTGAGGGAAACCGTGAGCCTCGAGGAGCAGATAATACCAAGGATATGTATACGAGCAGCGGAGGTCGTTGTGTTTATTATCTTTAAAATAATTTTTGCAACTTTCAACGCGCGAAAAAATGTTTTCGAACAACTGGCTATTTGCCGCGTGAAATGTTCACTTTCAGTGCTCTTTGGTACGACTTTATGAACAAACAAACCTCTCGTCTTGTAACAATACCTAAACACCTTTTTCGTCTTGAATTTGATTGTGAATAAACGCCTTCATAGTCGTTGATGTATGGTTTGAAAAATGGGGAGTATTACAATCATATGATGTGTTTAGACCAATCGCGCGTCAGAAAAGCTTTGATAGTAGTGTATTCGAATGATTATCTTACATTAATTCAATGCTTAAAAAAAAAATGAAAAAAATGCTTATGTGACAGTAAAACACAAATCGTCAAATTTGCGGTTTTCGCTTTAAATTACCGATTTTTCGTTTTGACTCGACCCAAACAGTCGCAGCTTGGAGCGCTGACTTTTATTCATTTATTTATTTGTAAGTTTACGTCACTGGTCATTGTTCTTTTTCGTCGCAGGGTGACAAACATTTGGTATTTCCTTGGCTTGGGTGGAGCATCTTCGAGCTCTTTTTCAGTTTTGGAGTGATAATATTTTACATTGCCATCTGGATTGGGGTAAATTGAAACAACCTTTTCTTTTGTATAAAGTATTAGTAGAGAGCTTTTCAACAAACTTAACATGATTTCTGTTTCCTTCTATGTTACAGTTTTCCGTGTTTTCAATTATTGACATCACTGTATGGTTGCTGTCGGATTAGGGCTGGAATGAGGTACGATAGTGCGACCAGAATGTCTCACTTACGATCTGCAATAATTTCCCATCTGAGCCCCAAACATCAGTTCTTTTCCCTAAAGGTATTATTTAATAAATAACGAACAGCATTTCCATCTCAGCGTATCCAGACTGATAGTTCGACTTGAGAATTCTTTTATCTGAACGACTACCTTTCCTGCGAAGTAATTTTTTAGCTGTGGAGTGGCTAGGTTCAAACTGCTCACTTCTACTCTGCCTCTCAGTTAACCTTGGGCTGCGCTTTCTGAATGGTCAACTGGTTTGCCTGCGAGCGACTGAGACTTTTTTCAACAATTAACGATCCATTTCAAGAGATTATAAACTATTTTCTCTCATCCACTTATTCTACTTGGGAATGAAATTTAAGTAACCCAACGACCACATTGTAACCTGCAAGAAAGAAACAAAGCCAACTAGAGTCAGTCAGCAAGGCGAGCACGCGAAAGGTCTATTAGAGTACTGTTCGGGAACCTCTCTCACGTGCGCTCACATTGATATCGCTCGCTGGCTCGAAAGGTGCAGTCCTCGCCTCTCGCGTCACACTGCCAATGAGAGCATGCTCGCAGGCTAACCACATAGTATACATATATCAAAATAATTTTTTACATTTGTACAAGGATAAGATAAAGCAAGCCCATTTGTAATGATTTATTGAAGAAGTTTTTTTTTTCTCTTTCTTTCTTTCTTTCTTTCTTTTACTTTTTTTTATCATTTCACAAGCTGGAATGAGACCCCCTCCATACGCAGTATTCCATAAGGGCACTGTGTAAACTCAACAGAACATTGTGACTGTCCCAAGTGATTACTGATCATCGTTTTAATTTGAAATTTTTAGAAAGGCTAACTAGTTTGAACTGAGTTTAACTGTGGAGAATATTTCTCTCTGATTGATTGCGAGTAGGATTAAGAGAGCGGTAATTATTTAACGTCTGGGGTGGGTCGGAGGACTCTGCACTATTCTGATGACAACCCCCCTCCCCCCACTCGTTGCAGTAAATTTTTTATCGTCACCCCCGCTGTGTTGGCGACGAATAATACCCAATCTGTTCCCCTTGAAAAATTGTGATCCCCTAGAAAAAAAAACTCTACCCACTCCCTCCCCATGAGTATACGAGGATAAACAATGACTGATCCCTTACGGTTCTAGGGAAAATTTATATCTGAGGAGTTCACACTAAAATGTATTTTGAAAGGAATTTCTAACCAAAATATATATAACGTCATATGAATTTTAAGGTGATTGTGGGATAGTTCAGCCTTTGAAGAGAAGTAATATGGAACAGTTATTTTGGATTTTCATCGCTGTTATAAGATAACTGAAGTTAAAGGGTTAAAATATCCAAAGTAATTCGAAAAACTAGCTTCTTCGAAGCTTAAAAGGATAACGCAGATGTATATTGTAAAAGTAAAATGGCGGAGACGTTTTGCATTATGGTACAAGGGTTAACTTTTGTTAAGAGCCCTACAACAATCTGCTTTTTGGTAAACTCGTTGACTTTTACATATTGCTAAAAAAAAAAAAAAAAATTAAAAAAAGGCTCAGAAAAAAAACTGCTTTTGATATTACCATTTATTTTTTTCTCTGAGGGCACGGGAACGAATGTTACGATCTGATTGGTTTTTAGCACGGCCCGTATTTTCCTATCTCTGCCACTGGCAACGGTAACGCCTTCGTGAGTCGCTGAGTACATTCCTACCTTCGTTGCCATTTTCATAAACATATCTCATTTTTCTAGTATTTTTAAGCAAAGAAGTCGGTCAGAAGCTCAAGCCGATAATTAACTAATTAGTCCTCTCTTTCCTCTCTCTTAAATCACTTTGGTTGACAGAAAAATATTGGTTTCAGAATGAATTAGTATAAGCAAAAGTCTCATAAAATTGGTTAACAAGCGGCCTGGAAGTTAAAGCTAAAATGTGAGGTATTTGGTTACTATTGAATTAATCGATAAAATGATTTGTTCGTAGTAAAAGGGGAGCAAAGTTTTAAGTTCTTCTACAAAGATGCTTTCGGTGAGTCTTTGCAATTCCGTTCAATTTAGACATTTGTACCGTAAATTACTCCACAGAAACCGAAGGAATTAAATGAGAAAAAGCCGCTAAAAATCCCCTTGTGTCTGGTTGAAGTACCTCATTTGAATTTGGTTCTTGGGGAAGAAAGACCAGATTTACACACGTCATTGCAGTAAACAAACTCTCACAACTTTGAAAAATTTGAATTACTGACAATTACTTTCCTTGCCATTAACTTACTGAGGTTTTAAACAATCTGTCACAATCTGATTCCTGTTAATTAGAGAGCGGCTCAGGAAAAAAAAAAAAAAAAAAAAAAACGGAACCAGTTTCACAAGGACTGTCACGACTATATTTTCGTCAAAAACAGTCAATTATCTCACGGAAAGTGTCATTCACTCTCATCGACGATTAAATAACGGATAATGTACGAAGATTTACCTCGATTCAGTAAGTAAATGGCAAGGGAAGTAATTGTACGTAAATTCAAATGTTTTTCATTTTGAAGTTGTGAGAGTTTACTCATTTGTTTAGATTGTTCCAAAGTTTGTTAAAGATATATATGTGTATATTTAGGAAGTCTGCAAGTCGATTTTCGCGTGGAACAGTGCTCAATACGTTGAAGCAGAGCAGAATAAATATTATGAATTATAAATATTATATATTATTTAATTTAAACCCCTGAAGATTGAAGCGATTCACGAAACAGGCTTGTCGGGAAATGTAGTTGCGTCCTTTTTTCCTCTCATAATATTTATGTATATATATATATATATATATATATATATATATATATAGTTGTGAATGTACAGCCTGTTTTCATACTTGTAAACGTGTCAACTAAACAAATTACGACGTCTAAAAATACACCTCCTCAAAGGAATGAAGTCGTCAGCGGAGATGGAAATTGTTTTCACCGAGCTCTTGCTCTTTTGAATGATGAAATAGGCCATGAAAAATACGAGGATATCCCTAGGTCAAGTGATAGTTTGCTTGAGAAAAATCCAAAGGTTTTTGTGCTGCTGCTTTTCTCATCGAACTCCCTACGGAAGAAAGGAAATATCACGGAAAACCCGGCAGAAAACGTGGGCAAATATATTGAAATTAGAACATCGGTTCTTTAGCAACCCATTTGTACCTACGCATCCATGCAAAAGAAAGGGTTCAGTTTTGCGCCGATTATTAACGCTGTTTCGTTCCTACTTACCACAAAAAAGAAGCAATCTAGGTGTTAAATCACTTAAATGAATTACAACAACATTAAGTGCCCATGTACACTATTTTAATCTCCTGTTACCTTGAGGTAACTTTTGTGGCGCTCTTTTAAATTACCAAGCCGAGAAATAAAATCCAGGAGTATATTCAACACACTTGAATAAACAGAAGAGGCTTTACTAGGTTATTTCTTGGCAATTTCTAGCTAATATTTCTTAGTTTAGGGACCATCAGGCGACGTCAATTTCACAGTAAACTTTTCGCGCCTAGAAAAGTTAATCGGTAGATTTTAGGACATATTTCATGGTTGTTCAAACAAAAACTTACGCTTCCCTCGTATCGCAATGATCTTAATCCATGCGTGATAAAACAGCGGCGGAAAAAAGGTTTTTTTTTAGACGACGAAATAACCTCTCGCTATCCATTTCTTTCTGACGACTTGCAATGTTTGCCCTGTGCCGGTCCAGTCTGTGCAACATTTTGGAGTCTTGGAGAGTTTCCAAAGGCTTTCAATAGTTATTCAGCAATTAAGGTTACAAGCTTTCATTATTTGTAGCCAGGTGTTACGAGTGTCAGTGTAGAGCAGGGTTGCTCCCAGACAAATCTCAGGATCGTCGGTAACAGCGATAAACTGATTTACTTCTCGACTTCTTGATTTTACTTCGCGACTTTACAGCACAAAGCTTCACACTTCTCTCTCTCTCTTTTTTTTTTTTTGATGAAACTAACGCTCTTATATACATTAAGTCCAAGGGTTTAGAAAATTCTCTAAAGAACTAAATTAAGAATTTAACTAAGATTAACACCTTTTCTAAATCTGAGTAATTACATAAGAAATAGAACGTTCCAGAGTATTCTTATATAAGAACGTCACGGCTGGATGACTTCGGGTTTTAGAGTGAAGAAATGTAAAATGGTTTCCGTGTTTACATAGCCTGATGTAAACACTTGGGAGGTTGGTAGAACACTCGATAAGCTGGAAACCACTCCGCTTCGTGTCGTGGTTTCCTACGCTTATCTCGTTATCTCGTTTACATAGCCTGATGTAAACATTGGGAGGTTGGGAGAACACGAGATAAGCGTAGGAAACGACGACGCGAGGTGGAGTGGTTTCTAGCTTATCGACCATTTTACAAACCATTTTACATATCTTTTAATAAATTACCAATGAAAGAGGAACGAAAACCGTGTTTACATACGCTCATGTAAAGTGGTTTTATGGCCAATCAGAGCGCGCGTACTATTTGAATTATTTTATAGTGAAAAAATGTAAAATGGTTTCCGTGTTTACATAGCCTGATGTAAACACCTGGGAAGTTGGGAGAACACGAGATAAGCGTAAGAAACCACGACACGAAGCGGACAACTTTTTGCGGTGGCTCCAGGCTCCGTGCAGGTGTTATAATTCTCGGAATCTTGGGCCTTTTAAGTTCCAGCAGTTATTAATCGTATAACCACCGGAGATATCAACAAACACTTTTAAAAAATGTGTAAAACCTTTTTGATTATCTTTTGACTGATTAATTGATTGATTATGTTTTTTTAATAATCATCTCTAAATAAAGCAATGGTCAGATTGGCTTACGTTTCTCTTGCATTCGGAGGCATCTCATTGTTGGTGAACCTGTTGCTTCTGTTATCCAGCTCAGTAAGTCCAACACATTAATTCTAAGAACGTAATTTTAGCATGTAACTGAAAAATGATTCAAGAAGATAAGATATTATGACGAAATTTGTCTGAGAGGTTCGTAATTAATTCTTCTCTTAGAAATTTAAAACTATTCGGTAGCTTATTCAACGAAAACGGCTTTTCTAAGTCACAATTTCATGAATTAATTTTGCTTTGATAGTAGTGAGTTCCAACGATTATCTCACATTAATTCAACACTTTAAACACATTAAACTATTTTAATTATTTTGTCCGTGTTTACATAGCCTGACGTAAACACCTGGGAGGTTAGGAGAACACGAGATAAGCGTAGGAAACCACGACGCGAAGCGGAGTGGTTTCCAGCTTATCGAGTTGAATTATTTTATAATGTTCTATAAAATGTTCTGGGAGTTGACTTAGACAGTTTTTCGCAACACCAGGCTTAACTGGTGTGTGAGAATAGGAAAATTTTTTTACGGTAGAAAAATTCAGGTTCAACTTTCTCTTGTGTCATTCAAAACAATGGCTTGTATTGCGGAACAAACGGAGAGTGATCGCAATTTTTTTTTTACTTTCTCTTTCGCCAGACGCTATTTGATACAAAGCGCTTTGTCGAGCTTTGATTAGCATATCAATGAAGAAGACATGAACTTTGCATACGCACGTGAAGTAAAATAACTTAATTATTGAATGAAATCAATAGTAACATTAAACAGGGTAAAATCTCAAAAGTAACAGGTTAAAAAGCATCCAGCAGCTAAGCTTGAATCAGTTCACTTGAGCTTGAGGTTCAGTAGAGCAACTTCGACTAATCATCTTCGATGGCAGTTTTGGTGACAACTTGTTGCTGTGACTCCAGCCTCCGTGCAGGTGTTACGATTCTCGGAATCTTTGGCCTGGTAAGTTGCAGCAGTTATTAATCCTATAACAACCGGAAATATCCTTCTGCTTTTCATATCTTAGTAATGGTAGTTCCGTACAAATCGCGAACTTTAAGTTCCGGGAAAAGTATACCTACAGCAAAGATTAAACACGTGGAATTTTGTTGCGTCGCGTTGAATAATTACACGAATATTAGTGAATGATTTCCAAAACGTTTTTCTCTAGTCAATAACGACTATATTGTTACCAGTAAAATGTCGTGGAAAATAATTTGTCAACGTCAACGCAGAGACATATGCGCATTCTGAAATTTCAGGACGACTGAGCAACTCAGTGCAAACTTCATAACTTTCATTCGGTCAAAAACGGGCATTGTAGAAGAAATTGTTTCACGGTAAAATTAGATGTTGCAGCTGCAACTAATACTTTGAAGCAAAGAAATGATCCTCTCTGGTGACTTGCTGATAAAGAAATCGCAGACTGAGAAAAGACGCTGGAAAAGCTTCAGGCTTCAACAGCATTCGAAGGGGTACCTCTCAGATACTAGTCATTCGATGTTATCAACAGAGCTACGAAGTCTCATGACTGAAGCGAGGCAAATTCTATCGGGTTCTTCGTTCCTTTAAAGGAATCTGATTTTTTTATAGAAATGTAATTTGATCTGGAGATGATATTGAAGTAAAGACTCGATCAGTGTAGGTGAGCTGTTACTAAAGAAACCGAAGCATTCTGTATTTGCTTTGGTATATCAAATCTGATCTGTAGTTGCGTTCCTTCTTTTTCAGATTGCATCATCTTATTCAATTTATTACCACAATCAGTTAATCAAAGTTTACAAGCATGTAGAGGAGAACCCTGACAAAATCAGCCAAGATTTACCTTTCAGCAAAAAATATTTACCGGGTATTACAGTTTACTTTTGTCTTGTTCCGTAAAATCCGTTGGGAAAAACACGTGGTTAGGACGAAAATATTTCATTTGTGAGATCATTTCTTGAATTTTGTGAGTTTTTTAATGACTTAAATATGCATTTTACATTGGTTCGTGATCTTGTGTGAAAATGAAATTTCAACAAACACTTTTAAAAAATGTGTAAAACCTTTTTCTGCAAAAACGTACCGTATCAGTCAAGACTGTCTCTCATTTTTTGATTATCTTTTGACTGATTAATTGATTAATTATGTTTTTTTTTAATGATCATCTCTAAATAAAGCGATGGTCAGTTTGGTTTACGTTTCTCTTGCATTCGGAGTCATCTCACTGTTGGTGAACCTGTTGCTTCTGTTATCCAGCTCAGTAAGTCCATTACATTAATTCTAAGAACGTAATTTTAGCATGTAACTGAAAAATAATTCAAGAAGATAAGATATTATGACGAAATTTGTCTGAGAGGTTCGTAATTATTTCTTCTCTTCGAAATTTAAAACTATTCGGTGGCTTATTCAACGAAAACGGCTTTTCTAAGTCACAATTTCATGAATTAATTTTGCTTTGATAGTAGTGAGTTCAAACGATTATCTCACATTAATAAAACACTTTAAACACAAAATGCAAAACACAAATCGCCAAATTGGCAGATTTCGCTTCAAGTTCAATCGCCAATTTTTGTTTTTGACTTGACCCAAACAGTCGCAGCATGGAGCGCTGACTTATACTTACTTATTTGTAAGTTTACGTCACTGGTCATCGTTCTTTTTTGTCGCAGGGTGACAGGTGTTTGGCATTTCCTTGGCTTGGGTGGAACATCTGCGAGCTCTTTTGCAGTTTTGTAGTGTTCATATTTTACATTTCCATCTGGAATAGGGTAAATTGAAACAACCTTTTCCTTTTTTTATGAATTACTGATAGAGAGTTTTCAACGAACTTGACATGATGTCTGTTTCCTTCTATGTTACAGTATGACATCTTCCTAGTTATTTACGGCATTGCATGGTTGCTGTGGGTATGTTCTATTTCAGTCTTAGATCAATTTCTTTTTGAGAGTGGAAAAAAAAACTGAATTTGCATTGATTTTGCCTTGGCTCTGTGGTTGGTTCAGAAAACTCACGTCACTAAGCAATCAGACGCAAAATTAAAACTAATCATGACTTGCTCAAGTAGTTTAAGGCCTGGGTTTTATTTTGGTTCGAGACCCCCAGCAGAGTTTCAAGCTATTCAATCGCAGAGTAGTAACATGGCGGCCGATTTTCGATTAGTACGTTCACGGTTTCGAGGAAGTTAAGATCGATTTCTAGCCTAAATTTTTCAGAAGACGCTGTTTTTTCGCAGATGTCAGCTTAACAGTTGAGGTGAGTGTTGGTTTTGTGTTATTTTCCAGATAATAGCAATTTGCTGTAGCTGCGAATTGACTAATGCGTACACCATAAATTAAGAGCGTTCATGGAAAACGCATTTTTTTTGGTTTATTAAATTAGGTACTAAATTTTTCTGGTATGTTTTGGAAAGTTTCATTCTCATCAGTATGGGATGAGCTTAAAATTTTTAAACCTCGGTGTGTAACCTTTCCGTTAACGTAGATCACGTTTGTTTATCAGATTAAAAACCGTGGAACTTTCTTCCCCAGTCATAAATTTAACTGTGATCTGCAGCACAACACTTTTCTAGGCAACATTACAATGAGAGTACTTTGAGTCCTATGAGCTTCAACAAAGGGAATTTATTAATTAAGTTACGATGCATATACGTTTCGAATTAATGAGGAAAATTAAAGCTATACTTATGCAGTTGTGTTCTTACATGTACAGCGAAAAATATATTTTAGCTAAATCGATCACGAGAGAGTTGTCAAAATGAGTTGTCGGTTTTAACCTTTGATGACAAAGACTTAAGTTACATTCCAAAGGTTAGTGATATGCCCATGACAAAAAATCAAAACAATATTTTTAATCATACTTGACAATATTGTTTATTATACTTTTTTGTTTACAGCAAATTCTGTTGACATCCAACAACACTGGAATCTGTTGAAGTGTTATGGGATCTTATGAAGAATTAGAATAAGCTGGAAGGTATATATCCTGTGATAAATATTATTGAACATAACTGACTGAATGACCGTCAAGGAAATGCTTATATGTGACTGTGACGGGATTGGCTACATAGGTGTCATCTAATTATCAAGAGATGGCACCTGAAGCTGGTTGATGTTTTGAGGTGGTTTAAATTTGTCCTTTCTGAATTTTCTACAATGAAAACACTTATTTTTTTCTTGTTTGAGCTTGCCTTCTGATCAGTAACTGCAAGTTATATTACTGATTAAGAAAGACTTTTAACTTGATTATGAAACTGAGTTAGATGGTTTCTAAAGATCTTTTTACCCATATGAGAGGGGTGTACATGTATTCCCTGAGTATTTGTTAGTGAACTGAGTGACATAGTAATATCTTTGGGCACCATGTTTAACTTGCTGGTCTGTAGAACAACCTTGAACTTGCTCATTTGTTTTTCAAATACATCAGTGTCTACTCCCTGAGACTTTGAATACTCTTTTAAAACCTGCCCAGCCTTGGTTGGTGGAACAATTGCCCCTTGTCTACTAATGGTACTCATTGACAATGACATCCAGCATCAGCTGCTAAAGGTCCCCATCCAATATATTGGGAACAGACAACCTCTGTTGTCACTTTGGTGTATTGTTGACCCTTTCCTTTGCTTTATTGATGAATTTGGAGCATTCCATTGTTCTTTGCCCTGCAAATTATATGTGCTGAGCCAGGTGAAGGCCTACATAATTTTTCTTTTAAGAATTTTCAACATTCTTTATTAATTTAATTTTTTCTTCACAATTTTTTCTTTGCATTAACAGGTGATTCCTTCTTTGTTAACCCAGCCTCAGGAACCATGGATATTACTTCGCCAAAGGACTTTACCAATCGCTCCTTACATACTTTGTCAAATTCATGGTAGATTACTGTCCCAAAGTTTTTCACCTCTTTCTGTGTTTTTTTGGGAAGTTTTTTCGCCAGTCAGTTCTTTTGCTTGACTGTTAACATCTGTAAATGGCTCCCTTTTGCTCATCACACAGCATGTATTTTTTTTGTATAGGCTACTTTCTACTGTTGTTAAAATAAAGCAGTAACACCATGCAGGGGTGATTTACCCGGGCAGTTTGCTGCCAGCTTTCAATAGAAAAAGTTTTTAGCTACATCCTCTATTTTTTGATGGTGAACACTGTGAAATTTAGTGATCAGTGGCCATATAATTCTTGAGAAAAAAGCATCAATGATAGGAATTTTTGTTTGTAGTTGATGCTGCTTTTTCCTATTTGTAAGTATTTGGAAACCTTCAAAAGATTTGTAGAGGAAAGAATACTTTCACTGACATGTTGATGAGGATATTCATTGAAATTTCCTCATACAACCGATACCTCTTTTCCAGATGCCAGCTTATGTATGCCTTTTCAGACTCATTATCGTATCTTGTTATTATTTCTTATTCTCTTTCCTTTTGATTTTGTTGTACTTTTTGAAACTTGTCAGCATGAAAATTTGTGCAATGTGAGCATGCAAATTATTTCTCCATCAAAATGGGTTGAAGGGAAGAATCTGATTTTAAAGTTCCTTGTTTGTCACCTTTTTTTTTTATTAATGCTAGCCTAAATAAGACTAAATATTACTTAAAAAATGGTTTTTGTAAGTTCAAAGTGCAGGAGTGTTATGTTAAAGCACCAATACCAGAAGTAATTTTTCCCCTCCCCGTCCTTTTGCGGCTTAACATTGTTACTTGTTGGTAAACTGATTTCGCAGCCAAGGCAAGAGAAGCATTTGGGAATTTTTATTTAAAAGCTGTCGTATATTTCACTCCATAGGAAACCATAAGCCATACAATGCGTTCCACGCGTTGAAATTGCATAAAAAACAATAAATACAAAAAACCCAAATTATTAACCATCACTGAAGTATTTCAGTATTCCTAGAATTACAAGAATCACAAACATACTGTTCTAGAACACTAAATAGTATATAAGTCAGTGTTTTAGGCAGTACCACTTTTCGCCGCAGTGATTGTCCTGCGACCGACGCTGACAACCATATTCGATTTGCGCCTTCGTAATCAGCGGTTTAGTGTAATAGTCGGTTCGTCATTATGTATTATTATCGAAAGTAAACAAAATGGCAGCATTTTTCGTAGCCCCAAAAGGGTTAATTATAACGCTCCCGCCGGTGCCGAAGTTTTCGTTTCACGCAATAATTTCTTGAAAAATGGAAGAAGGTATTGATAAACTTTGTCTTCACGTTCGAAATGATGTGTTAAGTACAGTTGATAACAAACAAAATGCTATTAAGTTTACGAAAGTTTTTTCGCAGCTCTTAAAAAATCTTAATTCCCTTTTGAAGGAACGAAGGAAGTTCATTCCAAACGTAGATGGCTAGAAATTTTTACTGAGTATTTGTTTCATTCATTGATCAGTGAAGAGTGTGTGTAAATCTTACCAATTCCGATAAAAACTGATTGAGTAGCGTTTTGATCACGTGACCCGACACGTGACTTTCGTCGTCGGTATTGTTGCTATAAGGTAAAAGTTCTTACGGAAAACTATCTTTCACGAAAGTTTGAGCGCAATCGGCTGTGTATTTGCGGAGATATAGCTCTTTATTTTCTTAGGGCGACTTACTATCTTGACCCAGGCCCTAAACTACTTGAATGGTCGCCCTGGTTTTCCCGTGCTTTAGGCACTCTAGTTGTTTTACCTTAATCTATAGCTGCCTCTTCCAAGTGTTTTTCTTTTTTTCTGATTACTTGGTCGGTTCTGGTTTTAAAATACTCGGTCAAAAAACGCTCTACTCTCCTATTCAATTCACTACATACTCTTAAATTGATAATTGCCTGGGTCTGAACTCATTGCCTCCCTCTTTTTTCTCTAAGATCTACTTCACTATAGTGGTGTATTCGTACATCGAAGCCCTTCGTGAAGATCCTTCGGGAACGAGTGCAGGATTTTCTCCCCCTCTGACAGGCGGTAACCAAAGCCAGATGGTAATTACATTTCCATTGTTGTAATGCTACATGACCTTCAAAGTCAAATTCGCTATGAACATTTTTGTGTTACAGAGCAAAAGTACGCTACTATAGCAGATTGAATAGCATTCCATTTAAGGGCAAAAGAGGACGCTCTTCAAATGCTAAAGCTATTAATATTGGTAACGAGAGCAAGTGAAGTCCAGTTCGGTCTGCAATCATACAGGTGATTAAGAAAATCGGACGACCGCTAAGCTATCAATCTCGTGATTTGTCAGTCACGAATATATTTATAGACAGAATTGGACATCACAAAGTCCTTTTACCCATAAATCATAACCATTACAATTTCGGGAAAAAACCCAATACATCTAGGACAAACATCTCCGCTAGAGAAGATGTCTTAATTTTAAAAAATTCCTCCATTTGGGAAATTCCCCAGTTTTTTTTTCTCTTTTATTCAGGATGAGTAGTTGTTGCTATTGTTATTGTTATCAATTCTGTGATTGGTGGATTTAGCTGAGTGGACTTAGTATAACTGGAAAATTACAGCCGGCTGTCCGATTACACCGTTCGATTACAACGGTACAGAATGATTAGTGAAAAATAAATCAGCTAATGCAGCACTCACATTTGAGGAAATTGTAACGGTTGTGATTAGGGCTGGAATAAGGTACATTAGTGTGACTCTGGTGTGTCACTTACAATCTGCAATACTTGAACCCCATAGCATCAGTTCTCTTCCCTAAAGGTAATGTATATTTTAATACATGACGCTGAAAATCCATCTTAGCTTAGGTATCCTAACAGCATTTCCATCTCAGCGTATCCAGACTGATATTTCGACTCGAGAATTCTGTTATCCGAACGATTGCCTTTCCCGCGAATCAATTTTTAGCTGTGTAATGGCTAGGTTCAAACTGCTCACTTCTACTCTGCCTCTAAGTTTAACTTGAACTGCGCTTTCTGAATGGTCAACTGGTTTAACTGCGAGTGAATAAGACTTTTTTCAGCAATTAACGATCCATTTCAAGAGATTCTAAACTATATTCTCTCGTCCACTTATTCTACTTGGGAATGAAATTTAAGTAACCCAACGACCACATTGTAACCTGCGAGAAAGAAACAAAGCCCGTTAGAGTTGGAGCCAGTCAGCAAGGCGAGCACGCGAAAGGACTATTAGGGTATTGTTCGGGAACCTCTCTCGCGCGCGCTCACATCGCTCCCTGGCTCGAAAGGTGCAGTCCTCGCCTCTCGTGTCACACTGCCAATGAGAGCACGCTCGCAAGCTAACCACACATATATATACATATCAAAATTTATTTTTTCCCATTTATACCAGAAGAAGATTAAGCGAGCCAAGTTGTAATGATTTATTGAGGAAGTTTTTTTTTCTCCATTTTTCTTCTTTGTTTTTATTATTTCACAGGCTTGGATGCCACCCCCTCCATACGCAGTATCCCAGAGGGGCACTGTGTAAATTCAGGAGAACATTGTGACTGCCCTAAGAGATTACTGATCATCGTTTTAATATGGGCATGAAACTGTTAGAGAGGCTGACTAACTTTAACTGAGTATAACTGTAGAGAATATTTTATTCTGATTGAAAGCGAGTAGGATTAAGAGGTGGGTCAGAGGAATTTGGTTGAGTCACAATAAAATTTAACTGATCCTCCATATGCACTGTATTATTCTGATGACCCCATTCCCAGGTTGCAGTCAATTTTCTATAGTCTCAGCCCCAGAATAAACTGTAATTTAGTGTTAACAACTGAATTGAAAACGTAAATTAGCCACCGTAAAGAGTAAAAAAGCTGAAGTTTCGAGCGTTAACCCTTCGTCAGAGCGATTGGAGGAATTGTGGGTTGTGTGTGGGTTTATATGCAGAAAGTGGGAAATATACCTGGGAAATTTCCGACACTTCTTTGGCTTTTCCGGACATCAAAATTTCAATTGAAGGCAACGGCTTATGTACTAGTGTTTACTATAAACCTACAGATTCACATAGTTACTTGTTGTATTCATCTTCACATCCATCACACGTTAAGAACTCCATACCTTTTTCACAGTTTCTCAGACTTCGTCGTTTATGTAGTGACGACTCTGATTTTTCCGAAAAATCAGAGACAATGTGCCAGTTTTTCGATAAACGTGGCTATCCTTTTTCTGTCGTTCAAGCGGGCCACCACCGTGCCCAACAAATCGATCGACAGTCAGCACTACAAACGGCTGAGAAGGAAAACACTGACCGCATTCCATTTACTCTTACATTTCACCCTCACAACCAAGCAGTTAAATCTATCATTCTTAAAAATTTTAAATTACTCCAAAACGATTCAGAGACTGGCACTATCTTTTCGCAAGCCCCACTTATTTCATTCAAACATGACAAAAACATAGGCAACTTTTTAGTCAGGAGTTCATTTCAAACCAATGACCAATCTGGAACTTTTAAATGCGCTCGCTCACGATGCAAAACTTCCTTGCCATTTTTCATCTCATTTTTCCGGCTGGGCAGTATTTTGAAGCAAAGACGTCGGTCAGAACCTCAAGCCGACCATTGACTAATCAATCCTCTCTTTTCTCACCCTCAAATTATTTTGGTTGACAGGAAAATATTGGTTTCCAAATGAATTTGTATAAGCAAGTGTCATGAAATCGCTTGACGGGCGGCCTAAAACCCGCCTGGAAAGTTAAAACGTGAGGCATTTGGTTACAACTGAATTAATCGATGGAACTTTCATTCATTTAATATCTGAGTTCTCTTAAACAATTTGTTCCTCGTGGAAGGGCGAGCGAAGTTTTAAGTTTTTCTACAAAGATGCTCTCACTGAGTCTTTTCAATTCCGTTCAAGTTAGACATTCCTACCGTAAATTGCTCAACAGAAACTGAAGGAATTCAATGAGAAAAAGCCGCATTTAAGAGCGGTCCAAGGCATTTCGCATCGGAAAAATGTTTTCCCTCAAACTTTGCCCAATAAATTATCTTTGGTAACAAGTAATTAAAAGCACATTAGTTTCTGGAAATACGTTAAAATAAAATTTTTAGAGCTCTCAAAAGTCAACCTCAACCCAACCCAAAGTTTGGCCTCTTGCGACATCGAAAATTTCAAAAGTTGAATAGCCCGGTCCTCGTATCACACCGCATGCAGCAAGAAATATTTTATATTCTTAAACTTTGTCATATGTAAGGTGTATAAAAAGCATTTCAATTTTGATATTCGTTTATTCACAGGCTCGTCATAATTGATTTAAAAACACTCGTTGGACAGCTTTCTGAAATTGGTCAAAAGTACTCTTTCTTTCTTGGTTGATATTGCTCAAGTCCAGACCAGACCATTAAAAACTCGGCATGATTTCTGCTAATAAGATGTTTGGCTGCAGAAAAATATAAAAACATCTTTCACTTATTGATTTTCTTCGCAGAGTTGACTTCAAACTTTTAGCGATATCGCTAGCGTGACAGCCGATTATGCAAATTCGTTTATTGAGCAAACTCCGACGGTTTTATATGAGTAGCTCGATAAATCTTAGATTTTAATCATTTTAAGTAAATAATATAGTAGGACAGAGCTTAAGACCACACCGATTAATACTTTAAACATTTTAAAGGGCCAAAATTTGACAAATTTTATTATCTCGTGACGAAAGACGTCAACAACAACGTATCGAATATCATAATTTGATTAGCGCTCGCAAACTCTTTTTTAAAAATTTGGCTTCTGTTATTTCATATTTGAGTTCTGATAGCTTACGCTATTCAAACCTGTTTGAAAACTTCAAAACCAAACCACAGGATTCTATTCAGTGTAACCGGCGATAGCAGCTCACACTGAAATACACCGTGACCACTGTCACGCAATTCAATTGTGTAATTATCCTGAATTGCTTCTCCCTTCGTAGTAAAGCAGCGATAACATCGCCTTTTGGATCAGAATTCTGGTCGGCAGGAGTAAGAAAAATTTTGTCTCCACACCTGTTTTTATGAAATTTTCTATTCAGAACTCTAGGGAGTTCTTGTGGAACCCCGCGATTTTTGAGGAAATAAATTATTATGTTACGTGTCACCTCATTTTTCCAACAATTAGCTATTTCTATGTTGTGAAGCGCGTAATTTTATTAGCCGTTAGAAGTCCTGTTTCGGTCGCGTTCCTCAGAAACTTCGCTCGGAGACTCACGAGGAGTTTCTGGTTTGTTTAACTTGCCTCAGAGTACTGACTCAATAGAGAGTCATCTCTGCTTAATCCATTTTTCAAAAGAGAGTGAAACAGAAGGAGAGCTTATCTTTGCAAGGGCTGGCCTGTTCGATGTAGAAGACTCAGTTATGGCAAAATGTGGGTCTATGGGAAGTTCTGGCGCCAAAGTACAGTCTGCCAGTATCCGACACACCCTGGTAGCGATTCCAAAGGGGTAAAGAGCCGGTATTCTGTCAATTTGCAAATGTCTTAGGCCACTACTAATATGTATGGTATTCTATAGAGGTTTAGACAATACTGCAGCTAAGGGAGCGAATGGTTTCAAGGATTTTCTCCAAGTTATAGACGAATTGGAACGCTTGGGAGCAGAAAAGGATTGGTGTAAAGAAGTTCGGAAGAGGCTTCAGGAGAGCAAGTTGTATTTGAAGACTACATACCGTAATCACTGCGAAGAGACGATAGCAAATGTGCCGATCACTGTAGGGTCTTTGCATCGAGTGATGCTGGTGACACTGACTTTCAGAAAGTGTACACAGTGAAATTGGGTAAGTATCAAGTGGAAGACTATCTGTATGAAGCAAAAAATGCCGCTAAGATCTTTTAATGGAGAGGGCATATCCTGAGAGCAGAAAACCAGGATCAGTACAAGCGGCAAATTGTTGATATTTTGAAGAGAGATGAAACATTTCTAATAGTTGACTGGAAAATGAAGTTCATAGCGATGAAGTTTCGGGAAAAACAAGCAGAATGGTTTGCCAAGAGGAGAATCAATTGGCATGTGAGTAGCGTTGTTGTAAGACAGGAGGAAAGCCTGGAAGTAACCCGATACGTACACCTTCTTAACAGCTGTAAACAAGACAGGTTTTCAGTGCTGTCAGTCCTAGAAAATCTCTGTGTCACCATTCAGGAATAATAAAGGCCTTCCTAAGATTGGATGAAGCAGGTTACTGAGCTGATATCATCTCTACGAGAGCTCGGATATCGCCACGGATCGAACTCGTGAGGTACGACCCGATTCTTAGCCACAGGTTGGAAAATATGTGTCACAGGAATCTGTGTCCGTTAAAAGCGTCAATCAGGAGATACTGCAACGAAAGCCATAATGTTGTTTCTGCCAAAAACATACATACCGCATTGAAAGAGAGACCGGTCAGGGGAACGACGGCGTCAGTGTGCATAGTCCAGGAACAGAACTCAACCGTATAAATGAACAAGCTTGCCAATTTCAGCAACTTACACAACTTTGAGTTTACACAAGAGGGCCTCCGCGTTTGGAGAGCGTTTAATGTTGGGCCTGGAAAGTTTATTCAGTAAAATTAAAACTGCAATTTTTCCACAGGAAAAAGACGGATCTGGTGGAGGAGATTCCATTTTCCCCCACTACTGCTCGACGAATTGCATGAGCAGGAGAAAGCAATGATGTCAACGACGGTAGTTCCTATCAATGCCCTGAACCTGGTTGCGATGAAGATTTTAAGACCCAGGCCGACCTTGACCTCCATATGAACGAGCTAGTTCATCATGTCAGTCCTGTGCCTGCGAGCATGAGTTAAAGTCTTTATGACAAAGTGAAGAGGAAGTGGGTTCATCACTTTCAGTCGTTGTCATTAGAAGGTGAAAGTTCGACTTAACTGGTCGCAGTGGCCACAGAACCCTCGACAAGTGCTTCACAGCTTCCCATGGGATGGGTTCTTCATAAGAGAGGTGTAAGTGAACAGCTTTCGCAAAATGTCAAGCAGTACTTGACACAGAAATTTAATATCGGATGAGACACTGGCAGAAACCAAACCCAGAGAAAGTAGCAAAGGATATGCGAACTACTTGCACAATAGATGGAGAGAGAATGTTCGATAGAACAGAGTGGTTATCCAACATACAGATTCAAGGTTTCTTCCCGAGATTTTGCCTTAAACAGCGATCTAAATTACAACAAGAATCGGATGACGCCACCGATGCAGACGACGAAGACCACCACTTGATGGAGGCATCCGCGTCTGATGTAGACGAAGAGTGTTTGAGAGAGGCGAGGAACGCAATAATGGATGAGATACGACTGAAACATCCAATCATGTTTGACATCTATGATGTGAGCTCGTTGGCAAGAGAAGAAAGGTTGCCTAGCCTCAAAGTCAAGATGCTAAGAGACATGTGCAAACATTTTGAGCTCGCTTTCAAAGTGCAAGACACAAATGCAGCACCTCTTGCGAAAATGGAGGAAGTTATTTCGGGGTGCGGTTGTTATTCCAAACTTATGAACAGGGACTGTGGTGCAGGCAGCTATGTCGGCCAAATATCATTTTTTTCCTTTCAGCTAGAAATCCGAGCAACCGCTGCTTTACTTAGACGTGAGAAGTATTCAGGACAATTACACGATGGAATTACGTGACAGAGTCACTGGTCACGGTGTATTTCAGTGTTTGCTGTTATCGCCGGTTACACTAAATAGAATCCTGTGGTTTGGTTTTGAAGTTTTCATACAGGTTTGAATAGCGTAAGCTATCAGAACTCAAATATGAAATAACAGAAGCCAAATTTTTAAAAAAAGAGTTTGCGAGCGCTAATCAAATTATGATCTTCGATACGTTGTTGTTGACGTCTTTCGTCACGAGATAATAAAATTTGTCAAATTTTGGCCCTTTAAAATGTTTAAAGTATTAATCGGTGTGGCCTTAAAGCTCTGTCCTACTATATTATCTACTTAAAATGGTTAAAATCTAAGATTTATTGAGCTACTCACATAAAACCGTCGGAGTTTGCTCAATGAACTAATTTGCAAAATGGGCTGTCACGCTAGCGATATCGCTAAAAGTTCGAAGTAACCTCGGCGAAGAAAATCAATAAGTGCAAGATATTTTTATATTTTTCTGCAGCCAAACATCTTATTAGCAGAAATCAAGCGGAGTTTTTAATGGTCTGGTCTGGACTTGAGCAATATCAACCAAGAAAGAGTACTTTTGACCAATTTCAGAAAGCTGTCCAACGAGTGTTTTTAAATCAATTATGACGAGCCTGTGAATAAACGAATATCAAAATTGAAATGCATTTTATACACCTTATATATCACACACTTTAAGAATACAAAATATTTCTTGCTGCATGCGGTGTGATACGAGGACCTGGCTATGCAACTTTTGAAATTTTCGATGTCGTAAGAGGTAAAAAAAGGGCCGTTTGCAGCTTTGACTTTTGAGAGCTCTAAAAATTTAATTGTAACGTATTTCCAGAAACTAATGTGGTTTTATTGACTTGTTACCAAAGATAGTTTATTGGGCAAAGTTTGAGGGAAAACTTTTTTCCGATGCGAAATGCCCTGGACCGCTCTTACAGAGATCGCCACTTAACTTTTACATATTCCTGAAAAGAAAAAAAAAAAAAAAAAAAAGGCCCGGAAAAAAACTGCTGTTGATATTACCATTTATTTTTTTCTCGGAGGGCACGGTAACGATTGCTACAATCTGATTGGTTCTTAGCGCGGTCCGTATTTTCCTATCTCTGCCCACGGGCAACGGTAAGGCTTTCGGAGTTGCCGAGTACATCCCTACCTTCGCTGCCATTTTTCATAAATGTATAACATTTTTCCAGCTGGGCAATATTTTTAAGCAAAGAAGTCGATCAGAAGCGCAAGCCGATAATTAACTAATAAGTCCTCGATTTTCTCACCCTCAAATCACTTTCGTTGACTGAAAAATATTGGTTTCGAAATGAATTTGTGAAACAAAAGTGTCGTAAAACTGGTTAACAAGCGGACTGGAAAGTTAAAACGTGAGGTATTTGGTTACAACTGAATTTATCGATGGAATCTTCATTCATTTAATTTCAGTCTGAATTTTCTTAAAAAATTTGTTCGTAGTAAAAGGGGGCGAAGTTTTAAGTTCTTCTACAAAGATGCTTTCGGTGAGTCTTTCCAATTCCGTTCAATTTAGACATTTGTACCGTAAATTGCTCAACAGAAACCGAAGGAATTCAATGAGAAAAAGCCGCATTAAATCCCCTTGTGTCTAGTTGAAGTACCTCATTTGAATTTGGTTCATGTGAAAGAAAGATCAGATTTACTCACGCCATTGCAATAAACAAACGTGTAAACTCTCACAACTTCAAAATGAAAAATGTGAATTACTGACAATTAATTCCCTTGCCATTAACTTACTGAGGTTTGGAACAATTTGTCACAATCTGATTCCTGTTAATTAGAGAGCGGCTAAGGGATTAAAAAAAAAAAAAAAAAAATATATATATATATGTATATATATTTATATTTATAAGATAATTCAAATAGTAAGCGCGCTCTGATTAGCCATAAAACCATTTTACATGAGCGTATGTAAACACGGTTTTCGTTCCTCTTCGATAAGCCCTAATGATAAACTCGATAAGCTGGAACCACTCCGCTTCGCGTCGTGGTTTCCTACGCTTATCTCGTGTTCTCCCAACCTCCCGCGTGTTTACATCAGGCTATGTAAACACGGAAACCATTTTACATTTCTTCATTATTACAGGTAGATCTCGGAATTCAAACTCTTTTTGTAGATTGAAACGGAAAAAGATCCGCATGCGCACTACACCCTCCCCTCGGGAATGCTTTTCGGTTGTATTTATGTATGTACAGCCTGTTTTCATACTTGTAAACGTGTCAAATTACGACTTCTGAAAATACACCTCCTCAAAGGAATGAAGTCGTCAGCGGAGATGGAAATTGAGGATATCCTTAGGTCAAGTGATAGTTTGCTTGAGAAAAATCTAAAGGTTTTTGTGCTGCTGCTGTTCTCATCGAACTCTTTAGAGAAGAAAGGAAATATCACGGAAAACCCGGCAGAAACTGTGGGCAAATATATTCAAATCAGTGCATCGGTTCTTTAGCGACCCATTTGTACCTACGCATCCATGCAGAAGAAAGGGTTCAGTTTTGCGCCGATTATTAACGCTGTTTCGTTCCTTACCACAAAAAAAGCAATCTAGGTGTTAAATCACTTAAATGCATTACAACAACATTAAGTGCCCATGCACCCTATTTTAATCGCCTGTTACCTTGAGGTAACTTTTGTGGCGTTCTTCTGTATTACCAAGCCAAGAAAAAATCCAGGAGTACATTCAATACATAATAAACAGAAGAGGCTTTACTTAGTTATTTCTTGGCAATTTCTAGCTAATATTTCTTAGTTTAAAGACCATTTCGCGTGTCAATTTAACGGTAAACCTTGCGCGCGTAGAAAAGTTAATCGGTAGATTGTACGACATATTTCATGGTTGCTTAAACAAAAACTTACGTTTTCCTCGTATCACAATGACCTTAATCCATGTCGGATAAAACAGTGGCGAAAAAAAGGTTTTTCTAGACGACGAAATAACCTCTCGCTATCCATTTCTTTCTGACGACTTGCAATGTTTGCCCTGTGCCAGTCCTGTCTGTGCAACTTTTTCGAGTCTTGAGAGGTTTGCAAAGGCTTTCAAAAGTTGTTCAGCAATTAACATTACAATCTAGAAACTTCTCTAAAAGAATTAAATTAAGAAAATTAACACGGTTTCTAAATCTGAGTAATTACATAAGAAATAGAACGTCCCAGAATGTTCTTATACAAGAAGGCCATGACTGAATGAGTTCGGGTTTTAGACTGTTCTACAGAATGTTCCAGGACTTACACAATTTTTGGTAACACCAGGCTAAACTGGTGTGTGAGAAAAGGAAATTTTTTTTTTTATAATAGAAAAATTCAGGCTTTGCTTTCTTTTTTGTCATTCAAAACAATGGCTTGTATTGCGGAACGAACTGATAGTGATCGCAATTTTCTTTTTTAACTTTCTCTTTCGCCAGACGCTATTTGATACAAAGCGCTTTGTCGAGCTTCGATTAGCATATCAATGAAGAGGACATTAACTTTGCATACACGCGTGAAGTAAAATAACTTAATTATGGAATGAAATCAACAGTAACATTGAACAGGGAAAAATCTCGAAAGTAAAAAGTTTAAAAGCATCCAGCAGCCAAGCTTGCATCTGACGTTCAGAAAAGTAACCTCGCGTAATCATCTTTGATGGCAGTTTTGGTGAAAACTTGTTGCTGTGGCTGCAGTCTCCGTGCAGGTGTTATGATTCTCGGATTCTTGGGTCTGGTAAGTTGCAGCAGTTATTAATCGTATAACCACCTAAAATATCCTTCTGCTTTTCATACCTTAGTAATGGTAGTTCCGTACAAATCGCGAACTTTAAGTTCTGGGAAAAGTATACTTAGAGCAAAGATTAACCACGTGGAATATCGTCAACGTCAACGCAGAGACATATGCGCTTTCTGAAATTTCAGGACGACTGAGCAACTGACATTGCAAACTTCATACTTTCATTCAGTCAAAAACGGGCATTGTAGAAGAAATTGTTTCACGGTAAAATTAGATGTTGCAGCTGCAACTACTACTTTGAAATAAAGAAATGATCCTCTCTGGTGACCTGCTGATAAAGAAATCGCAGACCGAGAAAAGAAGCCGGAAAAACTTCAGGCTCCAACAGCATTCGAAAGTGTACCTCTCAAATACTAGTCATTCACTGCCATCAACTAAGCTACGAAACTTCATGAGTGAAGCGAGGGAAATTCTATTGGGTTCTTATTGGATGACTTTCGGAATTTTTGAAGCCAACTCGCTGCACCCCGCACTCATAGCTCGAGAATTCAAAACGTTCCTCTATCACAGAAGGATTTAAAAACGCAGTTTTACTAGTTACAATTTTTTTTTTCAAAATATCTCAAGAAAAGAAACCGGAAAAAATGAAATCACGCACGATTCGAAAGCAACACTTTCAGTTCACCTCAAACTGCACAGTGAAATAACATGTTATAGAAACGTATTCATAGAGAATTACACATGGGCGCGCTTAGATATGGAATCTCTTTTCTCGTATTTAACTCCATAGCTTAATAGTGATCGCACAGAATGAGTGAGATGTTACCGACTTTGTCCCTAGCGACAGAAGAAATCTTTCAGGCACACAGCCAAAAGTGGCCTGTGGCAAATATTCCAGTTGTCGATTTTCGTTCTCAGCCGCGAGAAATACTGTTACCAAAGCTACTCTTCGTATTTTTGTTTTCTTTCTCCTCTAGAAAGTTTGAACGTCGCTTTCGGTAAGCGGTGCGAATTATTCATTGTTTTAGCAGTCATAATCTTAGAAAAAGTCTGAAAAACAAGCACGGATTGAGAATGGTGAAGGCTTTGCTACTCATTCATCAACCTGGCCGAGTGGCGCGAAAGGCGAGTGCAGTGTAAGCGGCTGATTGGCGATATAAGACGCACGTGAAAAAATATCGTATTCTTTCAGAAGCTTTTGGTGGTCACTTACCTATTTTTTTTTGTCACACACCACGTGACAAACGTGTGATAAAAAATTACACGTCATGAAAAAGAAATTTAGCCAAGAGTTGGCAAACAGCACGTCCTATCGTGACTAAAATGATAGTTATTCAATGAACGATGTGTAGGGGCATATTTCAAGTGAACATTACCAGTTTATCCCTCAATCGCTTAAGAAAAGTCTATGTGACTGATGGAAATAGTTAAATATGTCATTTTATCTTGTTATTTTCGGTTTCCTTGTGCCTAAGGGAGCTGGGATCACAAACAATCATCTGGAACATTCTTTGCGATACACACATTGCCGGTCTTTGATCATCCTTATCACTTAAGACATATAATATTAAGAAAATCTGTCTAAAATTTTCAATTTGTATACGACTCATGTGAGTGGGAAAAAAAGGAAAGAAAACATAAGGAATATCGATTGAATTGAAGAATATTGATTGCAAAACCTGAGCGCCGAAGCAAGCACGTTTTTAAAGCAAGCGTAGCAAGTACAGTGACCCTGATGTCAATTATTGATATTCCGCAATAAAGACAATTCTACGTTCTTATAGTCACGGTAGTGATATCGTATATTAAGCATTCATGACATTTTCAGTTCTAGATTTTTCCCTTTTATTCAAGGAAGGGGGGGGGGGAGAGGGAAGGCGGCAGGGGAGAGATATTGAGAGTTCGAATTGATCGGCGCACAAATATCTGCCGTCCAACTGTGTAACATAGCCTCTTCCTTCCTCATCACAAATGACTCAAGTTAGTTTGAAATTCAAACCTTCGCATGTTTTTCTGGTGAATTCAAAAGAGAGCAATCTATATTTGCGGTGGTATATAAAAATCTGATCTGTAGTTGCGTTTCTTTTTTATATTTCAGATTGGATCAGCTTATTCAATTTATCAACACAGTCAGTCCATCAAAGTTGACAAGTATGTAGGGGAGAACGCTGACGAAATCAGCCAAGATTTACCTTTCAGCAAAAAGCATCTCCTGGGTATTACAGTTTACTTCTGTCTTGTTCCAAAGAAACCTGTTAGAAAGAACACGTGGTTAGCTAGGACGAAAATATTTTCATTTGTGAGATTATACGTGGAATAGCGTGGGTTTTTTTTTTAGTGACTCTGATATATATTTTACTTTGGTTCCTGATCGTGTGTAAAAATGAAAGTTCCACCAATAATTTTTTAAAAATGTTTAAACCTTTTTTCTGCAAAACGAACCGTCCTAACCAGACAATGTTCTCTCTAATTTTCTGATTATTTTTTAATTGATTAATAGATTGATGTACTTTTTTTTTTTTTAATGATCATCTCTAAATATAGCGATCGTCATATTGACTTATGTTTCCCTGGTATTCGGAGTCATCTCACTGTTGGTGAACCTGTTGCTTCTGGGATCCTGTAGCTCAGTAAGTCCAACGCACTAATTCTAAGCACGTAACTTAAAAAGAATTTGAGAAGATTAAAGATTATGGTAAAATTTGTCTTAGTGGTACACAATAATTCTTATTTTGGAAATTTAAAACTAGCGGGTAGATTATGCGATGAAAACGGCTTTTCTAAGTCAAAATTTCATTAATTAAGGTTTTGCTTCGCTGAATAGTTTTTGTAAGTTTGTTTGTTTGTTTTTTCTCTCATTTTTATGCATTACGTGAACGATAGTCTCTATTTGGCCGAAAATATGCACGGATACTCGTCAGTAAACATGATCTCTTCCGTAAGGGAAACTGTGAGCCTCGAGGGATAGATAATTCCAAGGACAAATGTACGAGCATATTTTGGCGCTGAACGGAGGATGTTGTGTTTACTATCATCAAAATATGTTTTGCAACTTTCAACGCACGGGAAAATGTAACAATACGTAAACACTCTTTCGTGTTGAATTCAATTATGAATAAACGCCTTCATAGTCCTTGATGTACGGTTTGAAAAATGGGGAGTATTACGATCCTATGATGCGTTTAGACTAATCACGCGCCAGAAAAGCTTTGATAGTTGTGTATTCGAATGATTATCTCACATTAATTCAATACTAAAAAAAAAAAAAAAGAGAAAAATGTTTATATGACCGCAAAACACAAATCGTGAAATTTGCGGTTTTCGCTTCAAATCACCGATTTTTCTTTTTGACTCGACCCAGACAGTTGCAGCTCGGAGCGTTGGCTTTTTATCTAATTATTTGTTAGTTTATTGACCATCGTTCTTTGTCGTCGCAGAGTGACAAGCGTTTGGCGTTTCCTTGGCTCGGGTGGAGCATATTCAAGCTCTTTTTCAGTTTTGGAGTGTTTATATTTTACATTGACATCTGGGATGGGGTAAATAAAAACAACTTTTTATTTCCTTTTTATTAATTAATAGTAGAGAGTTTTTCAACGAATTTAACCTGAATTCTTTTTCCTTCTATGTTACAGTTTGCCGACGTTTTCATTGTTTACATCATTGAATGGTTGCTGTTGGTATGTTCAGAGCAATTTTTGTTTCAGGGTGGAAGGAGATTCGAGATTGCATTGATTTTGTCTTACTTCGCTCTTTGATTTGAGAAAACTCACGCCACTAACCAAACAGATGCAAAATTAAAACCAATCACGACTTGGTCGCCTGCGTTTTCCCGCGCTTTAGTCACTCTAGTTGTTTTTTACTTTGAATTCTCGCTGCCTCTTCAAGGCATTTTTCTTTTTTCTGATTTGCTGTCGTGATTACTTTATTTTGGTTTAATCACACTTAGTCGAAAAGCGGTATATTCTCCGACTCGATCAACTGTATACTCCTAACTTGATGGTGGCCTGGGTCTGACCTCTTTGCTTCCTTTCCTTTTTTTTTCTTTTCTAAGATCTACTTCATCATAGTGGTGTATTCGTATATCGAAGCCCTTCGTCAAGATCCTTCGGGAACGAGTGCAGGATTTTCTCCCCCTCTGACAGGCGGTAACCAAACCCATAGGGTAATTACATTTTCACTGTTGTAATGCTACATGACTTGGAAGTCAAATTCGCCATGAATATTTTTGTTTTACCGTGCAAAAATACACTACGATGGCAGATCTAGTAGACTAGCATGTTATTTAAGAGCAAAGGTGGTCGAACTTCGACGCGAACGATTGAGATTTTTTTTTCAGCAATTAACGATCCAATTCAATCAATCAAAAACTTTATTCTCGTCCATTTATTCTATTTGCGAATGAAATTAAGTAAACCAATGACCATTTTGTAACCTGTGAGAAAGCAACAAAGCCTACTAGAGTTGGAGCCTTCCAGCAAGGCGAGAACGCAAGAGGTTTATTAGAGTGCTGCTCGAGAACCTCTCTTGCGCAAGCGCACTCACATCGTTCGCCGGCTCAAAAGGCGCGGTCCTTGCCTCTCGTGTGTCACACTACCAATTAGGGCATGCTCGAAAGTTGATCACATAGTGAAACTATATATATATCTACATATGTAAAGTGAGCCCAGTTTTAATGATTTATTGAAGTAGTTTTGTTCATCATTTAACAGGCTGGAATGGAATGCCCTCCATACGTAGAACTCCAGAGCGACTCTGTGTAAACTCAGCAGAACATTGTAAAAGTGAAATGGCTGATACGTTTTGCATCATGGTAAAACGATTAACTTTTGTTAGGAGCCCTAGAATTAACTGCTTTTTGGTAAAATTGTTAACTTTTGTATGCTTCATAGAATAAAGCCTTAGAAAAACACAGAATTTTTACGAGGAGTGAAACGGAAAAAAATCTGGGCTACCACCTTCCTCCCGTAGCTCCAACTCCGCCCACCTAATGCTTCCCCACCGAATCCTCAGCCATCCGATAAATGTTTGTTTGTTTTATCCGTTGTAGTTTTTCTCTTTCTTTTTATCACATGTTATTATTTTTAAAATTAGTTCCCTATTTAAGTTCCTTTTATATCCAGGCAAAAGATCTGTCTGCTTCAAAGAAGTAAGAATGTGTGTCGCCGAGACTGTGCGCGCGCTCATTGAGACTTGGCGACCTGGCATTATTGATACAGAGGGGGGTTGGGGTGTGTGGAAGGATCTCGGTTGTGACGCTACAAATTCAACCGGTCCCCATATTGGGCTCTGTATTGTTTTTATGATCCTCCCTAAATGGCAGTTAAGACACTCTCTCTAAAAGCAGTCCAGTGCGTTTCGGGTCGAAAAATCGATTTCTTTCAAACTTTGCTCAGGGATCTACATTAGTCTCACAGTAATCGAATCCACCATGGTTTTTGCAAATATAGCAAAATACATATTTTTTTTCTGAGTGAAAATCGCTTCAGCGCTTAAACGCTAGTTTTTAACAACACCGACTATCAAAAATGGCACAAGTTGCCGAGCTCGTCTTTTCACAAAATTCTAGTTCGAGGGTTTTGTTTTGATTTGCATATTTAGATCAGCCCTTTATGAGGACAAAACACGTAATTTTTTTTAACAGTTTTTTTTCACCGCAATTTTTTTTGTTTGACACTTACAACCCCATGACCGGAAATGTGTAAAAACCAACGTGGATTCGATTACTTTTAGACTAAGGTAGATTCCTAAGGTAGATTTTAAAGTTTGAAAGAAATCGATTTTTCATAAGATAACAAGCAGTTCCTACGAGTATTATGCCGTTGCAGCAATAAATAAAGCTTTTCCTTCCTTCTGTTCCTATCCTGATGTTAAATAAAGGCTATCAGAAGCTCAAATATCATTGTAAAACTTCAATTTCTGTAACGACATGTTTGCTTTTTCCGCCCAGAGTTGAATTGCTGAAAAATCAACTTTCAGGTATGTTTCTTTCCCAACGGCCCTTCTTTCAATCTTTCCTAACTTTTTTTTTTAGTACCAATCAGCATCTAGAGTTAATTTACTTAGTTTAGTGAGGTGAGCAGATCATTATTTTTAGCGCTTCGGCATTTGTTTCGTCGCCCGCGGGAAAGTGCGAGTGACGCTAGCTCGGCTTCGTCGGTGGGCAAGGGAAACATTGACGTACTAGAGATTAACACAGTGCTCTGAAGTTCGAAACCATAGTCCAATTTTTCTACGGCGTTCCTCTTTATCAATACACTTCATATTTTGAAATCAATAATGATCCTTGCCTTCTGATTCGCCCTTTGCAGTGCGATATATTCCTAATGGGAATGTTTTTATTTGGGGGGTTCAAATTGCATCTTCCTTGGGTTCCATTTTTTTAAACCGGCCGCAAGAAAAAAAGGAAATATTGCAACTGTACAAACATCTTGGAAATTGTGCAACTTTAAAATTGATGTAATTAACTAAAAATTCTGCTCTGAAATTACGTTGCTGAGTACGTGAGATTTCGAATCCAACTCTTGCTGCGCGCTGGTTCGAATTTAAACTTACACATATTCTTTCCGACCAAGTTACACTCCACTCATTCCATCATTATAATTTATCACATATTTTTTTTATCACCGTTGATCCTTGCAATCTGATTAGCTCCAGGCAATGCGATTTTGTCACGAATCCCTCTTTTTCTTGTTTTAGTTGATAACCAATCACACTGAGTCTTCATAGGTTTCCAAATTGTTGATCAATTGTTGATCAACAATTTCATAAGCTTTCATAATTTATGGACAGGCTTAACTGGTGAATAAAAGCTGGTTATTTTTCCGAAGGAAATAAATGACTATGAGTCAAGGCCAAACTTTTGTTGCGTCGTTTAAAACAATGGCTTGTATTAAGGAATGAACTGAATTAGCTCGAACTATTCTGTTTCATCCACTAGACGTCATTTGATGAAACGTGCTGAGACTACCTGAAACTCAATGAAGAGGCGGAATTTTACTTTTCATACCTACGTAAAGTAAAATAACTTAATGAATTAAAGCAATAGCAATATTAGACACGAAAGAAAAAAAAAACTTTTGTCGCGTTTTAAACTTTACTATGATGTCGTGCGCATGAAAATTTGTCATAATGATGGTCTTCACCACCACTACTAAAATTTAGTTTTACCTGGTCATACGATTGAAAGAAACAACGCAAATATCTTTCCAGAGGCTGTCTTTCACAGTATAGATACGAAAAAAAAAAAAGGGCTACGTTCACTCGCTCACGTAAATCGGTTCCCGGCGGAGACAAAATATTTTTTCCTCTTTTTATTCAAATTTATTTGCAGTTACGCGTGATGTGTTATGTACTAAAATTTACTTATTTCGACTACGCATTTTATACAAAATACTTTTTTTAACTACAAAAATAAAATTTAACCGCTTGTGAAATGAAGTTCGTAGAAAATCATTTGGAAAGCTTCTACAGAAAATTTTGCATAGCTTGAATAAAGCGATGGTGACATAATCTTGGCTGGTTTTTTACTGACCTTGATTTATGGAAATTACTTAACGCTCGTGATTTTATAACCCTTTTATTCGTATGTTTTGACAACGGAAATTTGTCAACATTGGTAGTGAGCCACCATGATGCTAGGAAAATTACTAAGAGGAATTTTTAAAAACGGATCTGCTCAATTGTGTAAGGCTTTAAAGCATCAACATCAACATCTGACCTCAGTCGAGTTTGACATTTAGAAGAGTAACTACGACTTGTACAATGGCAGTTTTGGTGAAAACTTGTTGCTGCGGGTGCAGTCTACGAACAGGTGTTATGATTCTCGGAATCTTCGGCCTAGTAAGTTTTAGCAAAGATTAATTACATAAAACTCTGAAGTATCCCTCTGCTTTCATACCTTTTTGAAGAAACTGCTAGCTTTTAGTTCCGCAGAAAATAACTAAAGCGGAGATTAACTGCGCGAAAGTTCGTTCCATCTCTTAAAAAATTTCTGTAGGTTTTAGTGCATAGTTTCTGTCTGTTCAAAAACGATCCAGGTGTTGCTAACCGTACAAATTATATTTTCAGTGCCAAGGCATTTGCGTATTCTGGCATTTCAGAACGAGAAATTGTAACCTTCTTAACGTTTACTAAGTCAAAAAATAATAATTCAAGCAGTTTGGTTTGCTGAGACTGTGTTCTGTGGTTTTTTAATTCTTTTCTTTCCTGTTTTTAAATTACATGTTGCATTTGCAAGTCTTACATGTAAGTGAACAAAAGATCCTCGGGAGTGTCTGAGCGAAGAAGAATTAGTTTAATATGTCAAGTAGTTCAATTTATTTTAAACCTGATTCCTAATTCCTTCCGTATCTATATTACAGATTGTATCAGCATATTCAATTTATCAACAAAGTCATGACATTAAAGTTTACAAGCTTCTGGAAAAAAACGTCGATGAATTCAGCCAAAATTCGCCTTCCAGCAAAAGCAAAAAGCTTTTTCTAGGTATTACATCTTACTTTTGTCTTGTTTCGTAAATATGCTAGGAAGAACACATGTTTAGGATGAAATTGTCTGCTGTTGAAAGATTATCCAATGTGTAATATACATTTTACCATTGCGATCTTGCTGCGATCTTCCGTGAAATTAGCACCGTAAAAGTGACGTTCAACCCGCGTTTTATGGAAATGTTCAGCATACTTTATGGGAGATGTACCTTCCCGGCCTTGCTTTTGTCTCATCAAATCTTTCAAAAAGCTCAATTGAGCTTGCAGGAGAGCAAGTCTGACAGGTTTGAGAATAGTCTCAGTTTGGCACTCCTGATTAAATTCGTGCCATGCACGGCTAAGAAAGGTTGAGGGGTTTTTGAGTTATTTCCCAACACTAAAGACTTTTTTACCCACGGTGGATTCGAAGGAAATAAAAAGTTCCCTAAAGTAGAGAATGACTTTGGATGTTCGTTCGTTAAAATAATCCATTGACAATGATTCCGGAGACAAAACATTTGATTTGACGAAGGGACTGTACTACTAAGTGCTATCCTGCACGAACTAATACAACAGGGGGAATGTATTTGAATCCACAAGCAGCCATTGAACATCCTCTATCTTCCATCTTCCATGCATTGATTGATTGATTGATTGATTTTTCTTGTCTAACGCTCATCTCTTTAGTGATCATCACACTGGGTTACGTTAACCTCGCATTCAAAGTGATCTCACTGTTGGTGAACCTGTTACTTCTGGGATCAAGTTGCTCAGTAAGTCCAACATTACAATTGTCCTGTAACAAGAACACAAATTAAGTATATAACTGAAAATTATCGGAGAAGATTTGAGATTGTGACAAAACTTTGTCTTAGTGGGTCATAATAATTCATCTTTTAGATAGTGGGTCATAATAATTCATCTTTTAGAAATGTGAAAACTAGCTGTAAGATTTTGCGACGGAGCTAGCTTTTCGACGCCAGCCAGATTTAACATTGGTTTTATTTCATTTAACTGTTCCTGTTTTCTTTGGTTTTTTTTTTCATTGATTAGGCATTACTTACCAATAGTTCAGTCTGGCCTAGTTAATATCAGTTACGGTGTTATCATCTTCATAATTCGGGGCTCGGGGAATAATTGTTAATTGGTATCTACCACACAATTGCAAAAAAAAAAAAATGTTTATGTTTTTCAAAGTGCCGAAAAATAGTTGTTGTTCTTTTCCGTCGCAGGGTGACTCGCGCTTGGCATTTCCTTGGCTTGGGTGGAGTATGTTCGAGCTCTTCTTCAATTTTGGATTGATCGCATTTTTTATTATCGTCATCAGAGGGGTAAATTGAAACAAAAATTTGTATTGAGTGTCAGACGAAAATTTTCGACGGACTTATTACTGAACATGATTTATGATTTATGCCATAGTTTGCATTCTTCTTGCTTCTCTACGGCATTGAATGGCTGCTGTCGGTAAGTTTTGTTGCACTCCTAGAGCAATTTTCAATTGAGTATTGCTAGTAATTCGAGATTTCATAGCTGTTGATTAGCTTTGTTCCATGATCGGTTCAGAAAAACCACGCCATCCTATTTTTCATTTCCTCCTCAAGATCTACTTCATCGTGGTGGTGTATTCGTACATCGAAGACCTTGGTCGAGATCCAATTCCACCTGGAAACATTGAACAGGCGGAACCACCCCTTGGAATGTCCACTGCTCAATTTCCATTAAATGTAATTTATCCATCGGGAACAAGTTCCACTTTTTCTTCCTCCTTTGACAGGCGGCAACCAAAGTCAAGTGGTAATTACATTTCCGTTGTTTCAATGCTCCGTAAACTGCGAAACCAAATTCGCCAAATTTTACTAGGTAAAAATTAGCTCTGATAGCATCTGCTAACGAACCAGCATTTCATCTGGGAGAAATAGTGGTCGCTTTTCTTCAGTTATAATGTTGTGACCCTCGAGAAGTGCCTCAAAATTTTTTTGACTATGTAATATGACCTCAGTATTCTGATTTTGTAACAGTAAAAAAACTGAAAGCTTATCTCAGCTCTATGCCTTAAGACGGCGTTTCTATCTAGTCGAATCCATGCAAGCAGAGGGTACCAATTTAGAATTTTTTAATCCCTGGCCAAGTATTCCCTTCTCTGCAAAGTATTAGTGGTCTCTGGGGGTTCACAGGTTCAAATGATTACTCTGCTGGTCAGTTTATTGGATTTCCTCGCTCATTAGTGCTCAGTCACAATCTCGCGAGATTTGAGCTGGCGAGCGATGCGAACGTGCGAGAGGTCTAAGAAGGCATCAAACCCATGAAGGCATCAATTGCCAATTACCTGCGCAAAAGTACCAAGAAAACACATGAAATAACCGCTGTCACGCAAAATATGCGAAACGTTCACAGAGATTTGCAAAAGGCATTCAAATAGGCAAGAGGAAAATCAAGATTTTTAACTATTTCTTACTTTTTTACTTTCCATTTATACCAGAATATGATAAAAAGAGCCAAAGTGTGTCAATTTATTGAAGTCCAATTTTCCATCATACCGCAGGTTGGAAATCGACCCACCCTGGTTTTGGAGGGGGGTCAGCAGATGCCGGTGGGAGCTCAGGAGGTTGTGGAGGTGATGGAGGTGGTAACTGACTCTCATGAAGGACCAACTAATTCGAATTAAGGAAAAACATTTTTTTTTCGGATTACAGACTCGGATTTAGGGGACGGTCATTGTCTATCGCCTCTGAGTGTGTGCGTGGGTGCGTGTGTGCGTGTGTGCATGGGTGCGTGGGTGCGGGAGCGCGTGGGTGTGTGTGAGAGGACGGTGGGTAAAGGAGGTATTGAAGGATTTTGGTCGTGTCACAATGAAATTTACCTGATTCCCTCCTCTACGGCTCAGTATTGTTCTAATGATCCCTCATTGGTAGTCAGTTCCGTGTAGTTGCCCCGTTACACTGTATTGGGAAGACATTACCCCCCCTCCCATCCGTTGCCCCTGAAAACCATTTGGCCGCGCCAAAATCCTCCCAACTAAACCCCCACCCCAGCTACAAATAATGGCGGGAATTTATATTCGTAGGAGTTGATATTGAAATGTTATTTGAAACATTTTTACTTAATACTATATACATCGTCACGTTCATTTTCAAAATTATTTTGGTATTGTTCAGCTTATAATTAGTAGTATAATAGGAATTCTATTGAGGATTTTGATCGCCCATACTAGAATTCAAGTTAACGTGAAGTGATTCGAAGAACTAGTTTCAGAGTTGAAGCTTAAAAAGATAATGTAGGTGTATATTTTAAATGTAAAATGGCCGATATTTTTTTTTTTAAATAAACAAAACTGTATTGGAAACAAAACAAAATAACATGTAAACATTGGTTTACGACAGTCAATAAAAAATAATAAAGTAACAAAATGTGTTTTATAACCATTAGACGTAGTTCATACAAAAAGAAAAAAATAAGAAAAAGCATGCATCAAAGTAAAGGCCTGTCAGTTGCCACATATATTTAATAAGATTTGCCACCATTTCAATACGGTACTGTTCGAATAACTTGCTGATGAATGGCCGATATGGTTTAGGTTAATTAACTGTTGTGAATAATAAAATCGATCAAAAATGGAGTATTTCAAAGTATATCGAGGAACAATTTTGATTAATAAAATGAAAACGATACCGGCCATTCACATCAAAATAAAAATATATTCAAGATGCGTTTTTTTTTTTTTTTTTTTTTTGCCACTTTTTGACGTGAAAGTTTAAGCCGGCTGAAATTCCGACAAAAAATAGTAGTTGTAGCACAAGGAAATGTTACTTTACAATGTTTTGGTTCAGTACCTTAACTTTAACGCAATAGAATGGTACTAGCCAGTTGCAATTGAGAAGTTTTCCTCTGAATTCTCAGTGTATTTTTGATTCTCTCTTCCTATTTCTTTTCTTACGGGCGAATGATCGATATAAAAAGACATCTTCATAGAGAAAAAACAAAATTGAATAACCTCCCCCGCTAATATTGAAGCTTTTAATTGATAAGACTTTCAAGTTACGTGGTCAGGAAACCCAGACAATATTGTAAATTAAAACGTACTGTTTGGCTAACATAGTTTATTTTCATGACTTTATCTATTCATCTTTTCAGTATTTCGCAGCACTTCAAATTACCTTTAAAATTCTATGCAAAGATGGAACTTATCCTATGATATTTCTGCCCACTTTTCAATAGTTACAGAATTTAATGATGTCTTATTTATTATAAAGCCGTGCAACCTACGAAAAAGGTTAAAACTGCTCTCAAGCCGAGATGTTGACTCCACCAGAGCTTAAGTGCCCCAGCTTCCCTCCTATAAAGTGAATTGAAAGGCAAATAATACTAATGCAGTTCCTTCGTATTCTAATGGCAAGGTCGTTAATTGTTCCAGCACTTGTACCTGTAGTTTTATCCGGCAAACTATGAGCTCGCGCGAATCATGATTTACGGTGACTCCAGCTCAGGGAAAGATCTGACTCCATGGACTGCAAAGTACGTTTCCTATTGTCTGCTTCACTGCGTGTCTCACCTCTCTGATCCTCCAGAAGTAAAGGAACGGGTTTAAGGTAGAGTTAAGTATTGTAATTTCATCAATGAAGACAAAATGAGTTTTTCTAAGATTGATCATTAGCAACATTGTAATTTCGGGCACATAACATAGAACTAATGCTTAACTGCAGCCAAAGTGCACTATACAATGCCTCTCTGTATCGCCCCAAGTTCATTGCTTTTGCATTTGGTTGGCTGGGCTGTTGTTGAACATGGTCTTGTAGTTGAGCCTACTGATGACTGAGAGCGCGGAAAATCTCTTTGTATGAGGCCATTGAAATCACTGAGCATGATTTTAGAACTATATCACTAAACCAACGAGTTATTCGAGTATGTGAAATGGAAAATGATCCTGCGACAAAGGATAGAATCCAAAAGACAGCTGTAATGATATAGGTGCTCTTCAAAGTTACGATTTCTTTGTATTTCAGCTCCAACAACGAGACGAGAAGTCTGTCCACGCTTATGGTCATCATGCCATCATAGAAACTCCACATAATGCATTTCTTGATATGTAGATTCCATCCCTGGCGTATCGACAAAGACTTCAATGCTCGTGAAACAAGGTCATCTAATAAGTAGCAGCAAGAGGCTGAGTAATAAGCTAAGATCAGTCGTTGCCATACAACGATACAAGAGTTTGGACGGTAGATGAAGCGAAGTTTCCCTGTTAAAGGCAACAAGCTAAGAATTAGAAAATTCCCAAGAAATGCTGGAGCGATGGTGAGGAAAATGTTAACTTCTGAAGAGAAAATGATTGTTGTTGTAACCCAACTATCAAGATGGGGAACATGGCAATATTTTATATGTTTCCGTCTGTGTTCCACTCTCTGTCGAGTTTGTCGTTGTAATCATGGTGCAGCTCTTAAAACGGTTTTTCCCCTTTTAGTTACTGTTTTTTGGAACTGCTGGCAACACGGGATAATACTTCTTCACAGCAACCAACTGGTCAATAATTAGTTAAATCTTATAATTATTTATTTCATCAACGCTAAAAGCTTCTTTAAAGCATCCTACTTGTTTTATACATATGCACCTTTCTTGAAATTTGGAGGGTATGCCTTGCATAAATCAACCCTATAAAAGATGTTCGACTGGCTGATAAATTTCATTCAAGAACGCTTTTTAAATAAGAGCTTTAAAAATATAAGGATGATTACATCGGCTAGTTTATTATTCTTTCAAAATAAAAAAAAAAAAAACGGTAAGCGGAAACGGTAAGCCTGTTATCTTCAGCCAAATGAGATACTACAAAAGTGATTCAATTGCAAGCATCCAGAGGCGTTCTTTGTTTTCAGACTTACTCGAAACATCTATCCACTATTCGTCCACCAGTTGTTTACTTCCTCTTTGTTAAACTAAAGAGAAGATGGAGGAAGGAAGTAATAAAAATACAAATTATCTAATTCCTTCCTTTCTTCTTCATATCTGTCCTTTCGATTCAGCAGAACATCCGCCCATCAAACTGATGAAACTGTTATTCATTCAGAGACGTACTTCACTCTTTTTGCCTGAAAAGCACAAATTTCTCCGTCCGCAAAAATAAATCTTCCGCAAAACGTTCATACCACTTCAGAAACAGTCTTGAAATAATTTCAAAATAGTTATGATTCCTAACGCATTTGACTGACAACTGAAAAATCAATCTAGGGCCGTAGATGTCGAGAAATTTTTGAAAATAACGTTTCGTTTCGTTATTTAAAAACAAACCCCAATTATTTTCTGTTCTTGTCGTATCTGATCAGAATTTATAAAAGGAACCATAACAGGTGAAAAATGTTACTTAACTTAACCATCACACCCTTAGAAAGCCATTTTGATATTTATCCATTATTCCGTTCTCCTTAATATCTCTCAGTCTCATTCGAACGGCAGCTGATTGTGATCTTAAATTCTTTTCTAACTTGTTTTGGTTTTTTTAAATTGAAATTTACTCGATCATGAACGCTGTGAAGCTAAAATTGATCGATATATGGTTATGAAATGCCAAAATGGTCGACCACTTTGATTCATTAAAGTAAAATACTAGATAGCGGATATGCCTATCAAAATGTCAAAGTATTGGAATATTCAAGAAACGTTTACTTTTACTTTTTGAAATTTGCATTTTTCTGTTTTTGAGTCACTCAGAAAAAATTGTTTTGGGCTTTTGACTGATTGGCAATTAAGGAACATTTATTGCAGTACAATTATTTAGAATGAAATTTAATTCGAAATTTAAATGAAATTTTTTTGACTTAAGGTCTCGCTTCTTTCGCAAATATATAATAAAACGAGTTAATATCCTATAATTAAAATTCTGTTTTTCTCTTTCTCCTGCAATATAATGCGGTGTGTACCGACCATTCGCTTCGAATTTTTCTTTTAATATTTTCAGTATTTGTCAATTCTATCTTATTTTTTGCCCTTCAAAGTTTCTCTCAAACAAACGATCTATCCTGAAAAGAAGGCCATCTTAGAAACCGCGGCGGTCAATTTCCCGCGTTTTTAAGACTGCATAAACAATCAAACCCTTATTTTAGTCAGCGACGACTGACCCTCTTCCCTCAGTTCAGTATTGGAAACCATATGATTCTCCAAAATATTCGTCAGATTCTACTAGATTCTCCTAGTTCTTAGAACAAATTTTAGAATTTCACGCATCTGGAATCGGAAAGACATTTGTTTCCACAAAGCATGAATGATCTCCAATTGCATAACAAAAACTCCCATCGCAATCTTTGCATATTATACGGAAATACCTCTGAGATAGAACTCACAACCGTTAAAACCTCCAAATACATAAAATTATACAAAATTATTAGGTAGATTTAGATTCCTAGCGATTTCAAACAATATCTCATTGATGTCTTGTTATTAAAAAATAATCTACAGGCTGTTTTCTCTTCCTTTCGCTTCTGACAAGAACCTGAAGTAACTGCAACAGGTAATAAATATAAAGTAACTAAACTAACGATCCGTCCATTTAATTTTTATCTTAATTTACTTTCCTAACTTCTACAATATCTCTCATTCTCTATTTACCTCTTCTCTCTCAAGGCTGAGACATATTTCATATAAAAGAGCCCATTTCGTTCAATTCTTATCAATCGTGCGCTTAGAATCAAGAGCAGTTTAGTTCACAATACTGAGCGCGTAGTTATTATATGGTTCACTAGATCAATTTTAAAAACATGGAATAAGCAGAATACAGCCTTAGCATTTGGCATGAAAACAAGCAGCGGGTTCGAAGTGGTTCTGCCATACAGTATATCGGAGGAAAGTCAAACAGATAGCACCTCTCGGCATCTAGGTGATATTAATTATGCCTTTCAATTTTTCTCTTTACCGACGAGGTTACATTACTAAACCATGGTACTGTATTTTTATCTGATATTCATCAGCATAAATAGGCAAACACTAGAGCATCCAAAACACAATAGATGCTGACCGACTCCGAGAAAATATATCTAAGTCCATGGAAAGCAAAGTGCTTGTCGGATTGTCTGCTTTACTACTCGTCTCACTTCTCTGATTTTCCAGCAATAAAGAAACGGGTTCAAAGTGGAATTAAAATACACTAAAATTGTTGCAGTTGCATTTATAGCCACTGCATGAGAATAATAAATTTTTCTGTGAGTGATCACAAGAAGTACTATAAATTTTGGTACATAACAAACAGCTAATGCTATCTGCACCCACAGTGCAGCGTTTACTGCCTTCTTGTATCTTGCCATATTCAGCGCATTTGGTTGGCTCTGCTGTTGTCGAACATTATCATGTATTTGAGCCTGATGTTTTCTAAGAGTGCGAAATATGTTTGTGTACGAGGCGATTGAAATCACTGAGCATGAAGGTATAACTATAATACTATACAAAAGGGTTATTCGAAAATGTGAAATGGAAATTGATCCAGCGGCGACGGATAAAGTCCAAAAAGTAGCTGTAATGATATATATACGCTTTAAAGTTACTATTTGTCTGTATCTTATTCCCAACAACAGAGCGAGAAGTCTGTCCACGCTTATGGCCGTTAACGTCGACAAAGACACTGAACATAATACATAGCTTGACATGTAGGCTGCGTCCCTTGCGTATCGACAAAGACTCCAGTGTTCGCAAACCACGGACATCCAATAAGTAGCAGCGAGAGGCTGAGTAACAAGACCAACCAACAAATCAGTTGTTGCCAGACAACGATACAAGAGTTTGGACGGTGGATAAAGGGAAGATTCCTGTTTTAGGGCAACAAGGATTAGAAAATTTCCAAGAAGTGCTGCGATGGAGAGGAAAATGTTAACTGCTGAGAAAGAAATCAATTGTTGTTGTAACCCAACTACAAAAGAGGGGGAGCATCGCAATACTTCATATGCTTTCGTCTGTGTTCCACTTTCTGTTGAGTTTGTCGTCGCAATCATTGTGCAGCTCTTAAAACGGTTTACCTCCTTTTGCTGCGGTTATTTGGAACTGCTGACAACACGGGATAATACTTCTTCACAGCAACCAGCTGGCCAAGAAACAGTGAAATCTTATAATTCTCTATATCATCAACACTAAAGGCTTCCTAAATGCTTCCTATTCCTTTTAAATTGGTTGAGCGAACTGTGCGTCGAGACTATTACATATTTATACATATACACCGTCTTGAAATTTGGAGGGTATGCCTTCCATCAATTAACCCCATGAAAGGTGTCCATCTGGTTGACAAATTTCATTCAAGAACGCATTTTAAATAAGAGCTGAAGAAAATTTTTTAAGGATGGCTACATCGGTTAGTTTATTATTCTTTCAAAAATTGTCTTGAAACTGAAAAGAAAATTGTTCTTTAAAAATTCACTGAAAATCGGTAGCTCAAATTGTTTGTTTAGGTGTTATTTTATTTTCGTGTTAACTTGTTATTTCGTCAGTCACCGGCACTTCTGTTGCTTCACACAGGAAAAACACACGCGACGAAACGTAATGATTAATTTTGTCCTAAATCTCACGCCATAACAGAAAAAGCTTTTGAACATCTGTAAACTCCGAGCGCTTCGCAGTAAGTGATATTTTCAATGAATCTTCGGATTGTTTTCAAGTTCAAGGATTGTAAATTACAATTTTATGAAAAACGAAGGTTGTTTGTTATTTGAAAAACGAAGGTTGTTCTGTTATTTCAGCAACAAAATCGCCAAAAACTATCAAATGCACTCAAAAGCCTAAAATCTAAAAAAGTTTGCAGGAATCGACCAATCGAGCGAGCGAGCGAGCGAATGGCATTCCCCAGTCGCGCATGCGCGCAATTCACGAGTTAAAAAAAAAAAAATAGGAATTGGCTAGGAACGTATAAACTGAAAATTTGTCGATCCGCAAAAAAATGTTCCATTTCGAAACATCTATCGATTTTTTCTTTGTAAAACTAATAAAGAGGGAAAAAATAAAAAAATTTCAATTGTTTATTTCCTTTTTTCATTCCTTTCTGTCCTTTCAATAGAACATCAGCCCTCAGGCTGATGTCAGTCATTTAGAGACGGATTTAATTTTTTGCCTAAAAAGCACCAATTGTCTCAATCCGCAAAAATAAATCTCCCGCAAAATGTTCATGCCACACGAAAAATAGTCTTGAAATACATCGAAAACAGTTATAATTCCAAACACATTTAATTGACGACTAAAAAATTAATCTGTGGCTGTAGATGTCAAGAAATTTGAAATTGAAATTAACGTTTCGTTTCGTCATTTGAAAACATGCCCCAGTTATTTTCTCTTCTTGTCGCATCTGATCAGAATTTATAAAAGGAAACATAACAGGTGAAAACTGTAACTTAACTAAACCATCACACCCTTAGAAAGCCATTTCAACATTTATTCATCATTCCATCCTCCTTAATTTCTCTTAGTCTCATTCGAACGGCAGCAGATTTTGATCTTAAACTCTTTTCTTCGCTTCTTAAATTTAAAGTACTCGATAGTTATCGCTGAGAAGCCAAAATTGGTTACGAATTGCCAAAATGGATCGACAAGTTTGATTCATTAAAGCGGACATGCCTATTAAAATGTCAAAATATTGGAATATTCAAGAGATTACGACTTTCTTTCTTTCGAAACATGTATTTTCTGTTTTTGAGTCACTCAGAAGATAATTTTTTGGGCTTTTGAGTAATCGGCAATTTAAGATCATTTATTGCAGTCACAATTATTTGGAATAAAACTTTAATTGGAAATTTAAACTGAAATGTTTTGACTTAAGGTCTCGCTTCTTTTACAAACATATAGTAACACAAGAAAATATCCTGTCAGTTCCGTATCTCTCTTTTTCTCCGCAATACAGTGACTATCGGCCATTCGCTTCGAATTTTCCTTTTAGAATGTTCAATATGTGTCAATTCTATTTTATTTTTTCTCGCCCTTCAAAGTTTCTTTCGGACAAACGATCTTTCCTCAAAAGAATCGCGACGATTTAAGACATTTGAGACAGTTGTTCCCGCAAATGATCTCCAATTGCATAATCAAAATTCCCACTGCAAAAGTCAAAACCGTTATAATCTCCCAACATATAGAATTATTTTAATTTATTCAGTGGACTTAGATTCCTAACAAGCAGCGAGTTCGTAGAGGCCCTGCTCCACAGTATATCGGTAGAAAGTCAGACAGATAGCACCTCTCCGAACCTGGGCGACCTTTAGACGAGAAAAACGTTTTCAATCGGTCGCAATCCTAACCCAAATAGGTTTTTGAGTGACCTGTTTCTCCCGGTGAAGTCAAATTTAGAGATATATTTCTTTAAGATTTCACTTCGGTATTCTCTGTTCTTTAAGCGTATTTTGAAACACTGTGTATTTCTATTAAACGCACAGCATGAGGAGTCTTTTTATAGGAGGCATTGTGTTTCTCCTCTCACGAAATATTTCCTTTTGCTTGACACGGATGAAAATTCACGTATTCGAAGGTCTTCGTCTCTTTGTAATGCGTTTGGATGTCAAGGGTGGATTCCCCTTTAAAAGTGTCGCTTTTGTACACGTTTGTGTCCAAGAATATAAAGCAAAAATGTCGACTCCATAAGAGTTTAATTACCCCGATTTCCTAAGCAGGAAGTGACTTGAAAACCAAGTAATCCTAATGAAGATACAAATTATTCATATCTCTTCCGATGGCTGGCATGTCCTTTCCTTTTGCACTTATGGCGCTAGTTTTATTTAAACTAAGAGCTCGCACGCATCATGACACATGCGTATCTCCTGGGGAAAAGATCTAACTCTATGGACAGCAAAGTACTGTCTCACTTCAGTAATCTTCCAGCAGTAAAGGAACGGGTTAGAGGGGAACTATAAATTAACTAAATGAGTCGTTACAAAGTGACAATTTGTCTGTATCTGAGCACCAAAGACTGGGCGAGAAGTCTATCCACACTAATGGCCGCCATTGTCAACGTAGAATCTCCACATAATGCAAAGCCAGTTATAAAGCTTGCATTAGTTACGATTCGACAAAGATTCCACTTCTCTAGAACCAAGGCCAACCAGTAGGTAGCGTAGAAAGGCTGGCTAACAGGACTTACCAACAAATCGGATGTTGCAAGACAACGATACAAGAGTTTGGGCGGTGAATGGATTGAAGATTCCTTGTTTAGGGAAACGAGGATCAGGAAATTCCCAGGGCCCGGTTGTTCAAAACTGCGATTAGCGCTAATCCACGATTAAATAGGCTAATCGCCGATTAAATTTAAGTCGCCGATTAGTTTCTGTTGTTCAAAGCCCGATTATTCCTAACCTTCGATCAAACCAAGGGTTAAATCTAACCCTGCTCGCTAGGTGGATTAAATCCTTAATCGGCAGATTAAAAAATAAAAATCACAACATGGCTGACTTGTTGTATGGTTGTGTTGGTGTTGATGGGCGAAGAAAAGGAAGCAAAGAGAGTTTAGGAGCATCGGTTTCACGATAGATGGATATACAGACGAAGAATTAAGAGCAAGGCAGACTTTTCGGGCGCCATTTGTTTTTTTGTTTACATGGGAGTACATGTAAAAGAAAATAAGAAAGAAATAAAAGTCTAAAGTCCGTTAATTTTCACTTTGCTTTGTGTTTGTTAGCGAAGTATACATTTTATGCAAGGTATGGACATTGAGAGGTATTACAATAATGTTTCCATTTATAAACTTACCTGTTTCAAACCCCTGTAACCCAGTAAATGACGGTGTGTCACTGAACATGTTTATTATTTTTAAACTGGCTTCTGATGGGTTCGGGGGAGCAGGGCCACCACCTGTCTTCTTCTGTTCACTTTTAAAGGAACTGAATTCTCTTTTTGCGTGACTCTGGAGGTTTTTCCACTTGTCTCGTACTTCCTGCGTTGATCTTGCTGTCACACCGACGGCGTTTACCGCCTCCGAGATTTCTTCCCAAATCTTGTTTTTTTTTGCATTTGTTATACTGTTGGTAAATTTACTTTGAAGAATGTCCATATTTTCTTCAAATTTTTCCGTTAAAACGGAAATTTCAGCGGGTGAAAAGTTTGCTTTCCGCACTTTCTTCGCTGGAGAAGCCATATTGACAAAAATAAATTTCCGGCAATTTTATGACGTAAACTGGCACAAAATAAATTATAATTAATTAATATAATTCATTTTATGCTTAATCGCGGATTAGTAAATCGACCGAGTAATCTCCCTTTGAACAACCGTTTTTTAACCAACGATTAACTAACCCACGATTAAGAAATTTAATCGCCGATTAGGCCTAATCGGTGATTAGTTTAATCGCGGTTTTGAACAACCGGGCCCAGGAATGCTGTGATGAAGAGTACTATGTTAGCTGCTGAGAAAAAAGTTGCGATTTGTCCTACTTTTCCCACATAAGTGGGCGAGCACATTATTTTTTGAAAAGTTATCGTCTGTGTTTCGTGTGCTGTTGAATTTGTTGCTACAATCATTCTCCACCTAATGAAACGGTGTCCTTTTCTTCCTTCCTTAAAACTCGTTCCCTTCAGTGACACTATTGACATTAAGACTTCCTTAATGCATTCTGCTCGCTTCAAATTGATTGAACGATTCGTTTGTCGAGATTGTTAAATAACAACAAGTATAATCCTTTCTTGGGAGTGTCTTTTATCGATTAAACCCCAACCAATGGTATGCACCACGAAGCTATTCATCTGGTTTATAAATTCAATTTTAGTAGGAGCTGACAAACATGTTAAAGATGAAGAAATATGTTAAAATGTCAGTTATGTAGAGACGGACTCAATTTTGTTTTCGTACAAAGCACCAACTGGCTCTATCCGCACAAACGAAATTCCTAGAAAATGTTCATGCAACAAGAAAAGCAGTTCTAAAATTCATTGAAAACCGTCATAATCCCGAAAAATGATACAATTGGCAATTCATCTTCATAATTTTAACAATGCAACGTTAAACAATGTTTGTGATTGAAAAACACCCACTTGTTTTCCCATCTGATTATGTTGATAAAAGGAAAAACGACTGGTGTGAAATGTTACACAACTAAACTAGTTTGCACACCATTGGTAAGCCACTTTAAATTTTATCCATTTTTCCATCCTTCATAATTTCTCTTAGTCTCATTCTCTATTGGCCCCTTTTTTTTTTCAAAACCGAAATATACTCGCTTCCAACAGACAAATTTCTTTCGCTTGTTGCTTTTAAAGTGTTTTAACAATGGAAAAGGTCCAGTCTGCGTAGTTTTGTATCCTTCTTTGCTAATCACATCAAGATGAGAAGTGTTTTGAAATTAGAATTTGGTCAGTTTTAAACAGGCTGTCATGTATCCGTACTTAGGGTAGCTGGATGTGTTTAACTCTTCCCATACAGTGGCTTTGCTTTAAAACTGCAGTTACTAGATTACGCAAAGGAGCGGAAATTGATCGATATTTGATAACGGTGGTGAGTTTCAAAAGAAACTGTACTGCTGTTTTCCCGCAGTTCCCGCGTTCCCGCTGAAAAGCTGCTTTCAATGAAACATTGCAAAGGTCTGTTATCATTCCAGTTGTTACCAGAACATTATTTTGTAGGTTAAATTTTCATACGACTAACGGTTAAGTAATTTGACGATTTTTACGCTTAACGGTTAAATTTTTTGGCGGTTTTATGGCTATCGGCTAACCGCATTGAGAACCTCGTATAATGCTGTATCAATATAATGGTGAAGTGTACAATGATCCAGCGGCGACGGGTAAAATCCAAAAGGTAGCTGTAATGATACATGTGCGCTTTAAAGTTACTATTTGTCTGTTTCTTATTCCCAACAACAGACCGAGAAGTCTTTCCACGCTTATAGCCGTCAACGTCAACAGAAACACTGAACATAATGCAAAGCTTTATATGGAGACTTCACATCTTGCGTATCGACAAAAACTTCATTGTTAATGAACCAAAGACGTCCAATGAGAAGCATAGAGAGGCTGGGTAACAAGACCAACAAACAAATATTGAAAAACAAAAACAAAACGAAAAATGTTTAACGTTTGTTTTCCGTATTTGAAAATATCCCTTAATTATTTTCTCTTCTTCTCGTATCCGATCAGAATTTATGAAAGGAAGCATGAAAAGTGCAAAATGTTACTTAACTATCACACCATTAGAAAGGCCTTTTAATATTTATTCATTATTCCATCCTCCTTAATTTCTCTCCGTCTCATTCGAACGGCAGCTGGTTGTGATCTTAACTTCTTCTCTTATATTCTCGTTGTTTTATAAATCTAAAGTTACTCGATCGTTAAAGCTGAGAAGCCAAAATTGATCGATATATGATTGCGAATTGCCAAAATGGATCGATAATTTTGATTCATTAAAATAAAGTATTGGATAGCGGAAATGCCTATTTAAATATCAAAATATTGGAATATTATAGAAAGTATCACCAAACTACCATACAGTACATCTGAGAAAAGTGAAACAGATAGCACCTCTCGCCATCTGGGTAATATTAATTCTGCCTTTCAGTTTTTCTTTTTGCCGACGAGGTTACATTACTAAACCATGGTACTGTGCTTTTATTTGGTATTTATCAGCATAAACAGGCAAATACTAAAGCATCTAGAACACAATAGATGCTGAAAGATCGTGTTTGTTTCATTCTTCTTTCCCTTTAAATTACGCCTTGTTAATACAAGTCCGGCGACTCCGAGAAAATATATCTAAGTCCATAGAAAGTAAAATGCATGTCGGATTGTCTGCTTTACTGCTTGTCTCACTTCTCTAACTTTCCAACAGTAAAGAAACGGGTTCAAAGTGGAGTTAAAATACATAAAAATACTTGAAATTCCATCAATAAAGACTATATGTGAAGAATATGTTTTTCTATTAGTGATCACAACCAGCATTGTAAATTTTGGTACATAACAAACAACTAATGCTAACTGCACCCACAGTGCACTGCTCACTGCCTTCCTGTATTTTGCCATGTTCAGTGCATTTGGTTGGCTCGGCTGTTTTTGAACGTGATCTTGTACTTGAGCCTGATGATGTCTAAGAGTGCGAAAAATCTTTGTGTACGAGGCGATTGAGATCACTGAGCATGACGGTATGACTATAATACAAGACCAAATGGTTATTCGAGTATATGAAATGTAAAATGATCCAGCGGCGACGGATAAAATCCAAAAAGTAGCTGTAACGATACATGTGCGCTTTAAAGTTACTATTTGTCTATATCTTATTCCTAACAACAAAGCGAGAAGTCTGTCCACGCTAATTGCCGTCAGCGTCAACAAAGACACTCCACATAATGCAAAGCTTGCTATGAAGCTTGCGTCCCTTGCGTATCGACAAAGACTCCTGTGTTCGTAAACCAAGGACATCCAGTAAGTAGCAGTGAGAGGCTGGCTAACAAGACCAACCAACAGATCAGTTGTTGCCAGACAACGATACAAGAGTTTCGACGGTGGATGAAGGGAAGTTTCCTTGTTAAGGGCAGCAAGGATTAGAAAATTCCCAAAAAATGCTGTGATGGAGAGGAAAATGTTAACTGCTGAGGAAGAGATCGATTTTTGCTGTGACCCAACTATCAAGGAGGGGGAACATAGGAATACTTCATATGTTTCCGTCTGTGTTCCTCCCTCTGTTGAGTTTGTCGTCGCAATCATCGTGCAGCTCTTAAAACGGCTTTCCTTGTTTCGCTACGGTTTTTTGGAACTGCTAGCAATACGGGATAATACTTCTTCCACCTGGCCAAGAAACAATTAATTCTTTTAATTCTTTATATTATCAACTCTAAAATCTTCCTTATATTATATATTTATACATTCACACCTTTCTTGAAATTTATAGGACATGCTTTGCATAAATCAACCCCTTAAAAGTGTCCCTCTGGCTGATAAATTTCACTCAAGAACGCATTTTAAATAAGAGCTGATAAAACTTTTAAGGATGAAGATAACAATTAGATTGTTATTTTTTTTGATAAACCTCTCTCTCTCTCTATATATATATATATATATATATATATATATATATATATATATATATATATATATATATATATATAAAAATAATAATAATAGAAAAAAATAGGAATTGGCCCGGTACGGTAAACATAAATTGATTTTTAGGATATTTGTCGATCCGCAAAATGACGCTCCTGCTGAAAAAATCGTGTTCAATAAAACATCACGAAAGTCTACTATCTTCAGCCAAATGAAAAACTACAAAAGTGAATCAATTGTAAGTATCCAGAGCACATTCTTTGTTTTCGGACTTGCTCCAAACATCTATCGACTACTCGCCTACCAGCTGTGTACCTCCTCTTTGTAAAACTATAGAGAAGATGGAAGAAGAAATAATGAAAATTCAAATTATTTATTTCCTTCCTTCCTTCCATTCTGTCTTTTCAGTAGAACATCCGCCCTTATCACACTCTTAGAAAGCCATATCAATATTTATTGATTATTCCATCCTCCTTAATTTCTTTCAGGGTCATTCGAAGGGCAGCTTTTTGTGATCTTAAATTCTTTGGTTACATTGTCCTCGTTTTTATCAATTTAAAGTTCTTCTGGCGAACGCTGAGAAGCCAAAATTGATCGATTTATAGTTACGGATTGACAAAATGGATCGAAGTCATCGTTGAGTCTTTAAAGCTTTTAATACTGGATGGTGGATATGCCTATTAAAATGTCAACATATTGAAAGATTCTAAAAATTATTACTTTTTTTTTTTTAATATGCATTTTTCTGTTTTTGAGGCACTCAGAAAAATATCGATTTGGGTTTTCTTGTGATCGGCAAATAAAGACCATTCATTGTAGTCACAACTATTTGGAATGAAGTTTGAATTCGAAATTTAAACTCAAATTATTTGACTAAGAGTCTCGCTTTTTTGCAAACATATGAGAAAATATCGTAAAAATTCCGTATTTCTCTTTTCTCCGCATGCAGTGACTACCGACCATCAGTTTCGAATTTCCCTTTAGAATGTTCCATGTGTGTCAATTATATCTTGTTTTTTCTTGCCGTTCATATTTTTTCTTTCTGACAAACGATCTGTCCCAAAAGAAAGTCATCTATTCTTACAAACTGCGACGGTCAATTTCCCGCATTTCTTAGACTACATGGAATGATTAGAAGACAACTTTAGCTTTAGGCAAGAAAACAAGCTGCGAGTTAGTGGAGGCCCTGCCATACAGTGCGTCGTAGGAAAGTCAAGGAGATAACACCTCTCGGCATCTGGGCGATATGAATTCTGTCATTCAATTTTTCTTTTTGGCGACAGAGTTAGAATACTATATCATGGTACTGTGTATTTATTTGATACTTATTAGCATAATCAACCAATTTAACGGCAGGGGTCGTAAACTAATTGCATCTGAAAAGTAGGCTCAGTGATGAGTGACACTTCCTCCAGTTCCTCACAGAAGATTATAACATCTTTCTTCGTGAGCACGCAGTGTCTTAGACTGACCTCTCCTCTTATGGGAGACTTTGGTATTTTCACAAAAAGCGAAGAAAGTTTACGTGAATTATTAATGAAAATTACGGAAACTGAAAAACCACGAATTGTAACACCGCGAATATATTCTGACATCAGTAAAGGACAGTCCACATTATATTTTAGTTTTTGATCACGTGATTCTGGAAACAATAAGTTTCTCAAATTAAACAATGCTGAACAATCTTAGCTAATGAGATTGAAATTCATTGTATAAAACCATAAAGTTTTGAAGAAAGCAATTTAACGGTGGAGATATGAAGCATTCGTTCAACGGAAAAAGTACGCTTAGTACTATACATGTAATAACAGAAAATTAAAACATCTCTCTTCGTGAGCGCGGAGCGTCATGACTTATCTTCTTATGCGAGACTCTGCATTTTAACAGAAAAAGAAACAGGTTACGGTCCTTTGAAAAATATGTACCTTAGAACATTTCGCTAGTGTCCAAAGATTTACGTGAAAGGTATCTCGACCCCGAAACGCTTCTGTAGAAGTAGAATTCGAATCTAATGCGATCTCTGAATCGTTCGTTCAACCTTCCTAAAAAAAATCAAGTTAATAGCTAGAGTAGATCATAGCCACTGGAAAATCACGCAATGAAGCACCACGGATTTCCTTCAGTGAGGGACAGTCCACAACATAAATAGACGTCTGATTTTAGTTTTATGATCATCAATTTCTCAAATTGAATGATACTTAATAACATTAGTTAATGAGAATAACTTAAACGGTATAAAGCCACAGAGATTAACAAGTCACCGTAGAACGAATTCTTTTTCACTGTGGTGGCTATTGAATCGCGCCATAAGCCGCTTTAGTGAAGGGCTAACGCTCGAAACGAGACATAACTACATCTTGCAAACACAAAGCTCGGAAAACAGCTACTAGGCTTTTCCATCAGTAAAAGCCTTACCTCTCTACAGTTATTATATAACTAAAGCTGATAAAAACCGAATGACCAGAAAAGATTTTCAATCGCACTTACCGAGATGTTTACGATGCGGCTGATGTTTTAAAAATGACACAACAAAATGAAAGAATCACTTTTCCCAAACTTCCGAACTTCCGCTGTCAAAGTGTTTTGGGTATCCAGATCACTTGTGTTTTAGCTTATTCCCTTCCCTTCTCTGGGCTAATCGAAATGAAAACGAAAACTTTTAATTACATCATTTTTATGTGCATGTATGCCGTTCTATAAAATGCTTATTGACCGAATACGGTGGGGCCGGACGAGAAAATATTTGGCTCTCGGTCATGAAGCAAGTAGCCTACGTGTAGCCGTACCCTCCCCCGCCGAGGTGAAACGGAGGCGAGGCAACGTCTACGAAAACCTGACGCCAATCGTGTTCCGTCACGTCACCCTTTTGCAGGAAAATATATAATGATGTTTTATTGGTTAACTCCTTTTGTCGATTTTTTCCTCAATTCTGATTGGTTCCAATTGGTAATTAATTTTTTATATTAACAAACAAGCAGGTGAACAAAATGTTTTCACGGTCAACTTTTCAGATAACAGCGATCTACGACAAGGTTTTAAGGAGAGTTTGCGCGACGTTTAGGATAGAGACATTTCAAGGAGAACAGCAGAAAGCAATAGATATGTTTTTCAATGTCTCCGTTTCGTTACCAACTGGCTATGAAAAATCTTTATTGTATCAAGTAGCGCTAGTGATCAGTCGCCTCTTCTCTCTTGAAGAAAGTGGTCATTATATTTATTGTGTCGCCCGTTAAAGCTATCACAGAAGACCAACTGCACTATCTTAATGTACTTGGGCCAGGAGGATTGTCCGCCCTCAACTTTCGATCTCTTTGTGAACGGCGCTGCGAAGCTAAATTAAAGCTAATTGTTTCTTACAGCGATTCTTTCGACTGAGTAAAGAGTCGCTCTTTCTTCACGTTTGCAGCGTAACTATCTCTTGAAGAAATCTTTGAAATCCTTGAGATTCTGTGGCAAATGATCCAGCTCTTTACGACGGCCGTGGCACTATTTACAAATGCAAGCAGAAACTGCAAGGACGTTGAAATCTAGTTTCGTGAGCGCAATGTTAATCAAACATCGTCCTCTTCTAACTCTACACCAAAAAAACGATCATAATCTTTTCCTACATCCTTAAAGCAAAGAATAAATTTGAACCCGGACGCTAAATTGCAAATTTACCTGAAAAATGGAAAATGATTACACTTCAAAGTTGTTGCTTATCTCGACAACCTTCACGCTATCACGTGTCCCTTCGCAAAAAAACATTATCAAGTAACATTAGTTTGCATAAATTATAGTGACGGAACACGATTAGTGTAAGGTTTACCTAGACGTTCCCTCGCTTCCGTTTCACCATCGGGGGTGAGTACGGCTACTCGTAGGCTATGAAGCAAGGACCTCGTTGCCCTCGGTCCATAGATCATGACCAAATTTTTTTCCGTCCGGCCTCACCACTCAATCATTAAGTACACAGTATTTCGGTTTTTTACATCACACATTTATTACTCCTGATGTAATTAAACATGAAATATGAAAAATGTTATTCTTTTTTGAATAGGGAACTTCAGGCTTTAGTGTTTACCCCTTTGAAATATTTGATATTCACCACAAGATCTATCACAGTACAACCTAAGTAAGTTTCTCTCTTGCAACGATAAGCTATCTTTGCGTGACAATCGACTCACTGTCTTCGTGAACTTTTCCTTTTCTAGCGGGAGAGATTTGCATGATCGAAGCCAAAATTGTTAAAAATACCGAGTGACTGTATTTCGGTTTGGCACGTCAAACTTTCATAACTAATGATGGATTTTGGCATCTAAAAATGAAACATCTAGTTGTTAACATGAATAATATTTATTTTTCTTTCTGAAAACTGCCAACGGCAATTTGCGCTCTTTAACATTTTTGTTTCCTCTTTTCCCCAGACAATTGCAAGAAACTTGCAACCAGAGAGCAGTAACACCGAGCAATAATTTGAATGATAACATTTCCTATGGCTGAGGTTCTTCCCTGTCTTCGAAAAATAGCAAAACATTGCAAGCTTGACAACCTTGCTTCCCGTTTAATTTAGTATTGACGTCAACATTATCTGAATTCTCAAAATTCGAGCAAATTTCATTTTCCAAGGCTAAACGATCAAAGCCAAAAAACTCGCATTTGAGAGTTATGGGCTCACTGTAATAGTATGAGGTTTTCAATGGGGTTATGGCTTTTACGGCTAAAGGTTAAAATGTTGGCCATGTTACGGCGACCGATTAACATAATTCTATGAGTTTGACAATTTTTATGCTTAGTAGTCAAATTTTTTTTGCGGTTTTATGGCTATAGGTTAACCCCATTGAGAACCTCACATAATGCTATATCAAAATAATGGTTATTTAAGTATGTGAAATGGAAAATGATCCAGCGGCGATGGATAAAATCCAAAAAGTAGCTGTAACGATACATGAGCGCTTTAAAGTCGCTATTTGTCTCTGTCTTATCCCCAAAAACAGAGCGAGAAGTCTGTCCACGCCTATGGCTGTCAACATCAACTATGAAACTGAACATAATGCAAAGCTTGATATGAAGACTACGCCCCTTGAGTATCGACAAAGATTCCAGTGTTCGTGAACCAAAGACATCTAACAAGTAGCGTGGAGAGGCTGGCTAACAAGACCAACAAAGAGAGTGGATGTTGCCAGACGACGATACAAGAGTTTGAACGGCGGATGAAACAAAAATTCCTTGTTTAGGGAAAATGTTAACTGCTCAAAAAATGAATTGATTGTTGTCGTAACCCAGCAAAAAAGGAGAGAGAGCATTGGAATACTTCATATGTTTCCGTCTGTGTTCCACCCTCTGTGGAATTTGCCGTCGCAATCATTGTGCAGCTCTTAAAACGGTCTTCCTTCTTTCGTTACTGTTTTTAGGACCTGCTAGCAACAAGGAACCACCGGCCCAAAAAACAATTAAATCTTCTTTTTTTTGTATTTACTATGAACATCAAAAGTTTCCTCAATACATCCTACTCTTTTTAAATTGATTGAACGAACTGTCCGTCGAGACTATTACGTGACAATACATATACAACTTTCTTGAAATTTGGAGGGTGTAACTTGCATCAATAAACCCCATAAGGTGTTCCTCTAAATAAATCTCATTGAAGATCGCATTTTGAATAAGAGTTCATTAAAAAAATTTAAAGAAACAGACCTCTGTCCGTTTAATATTTTAAAAAGTAAACCTCTGTAGATAAAGAAAAAAGGAGGCATTGGCCCAAAACGGCATACTTAAATTTATTTTCAGGATGCTTGTCGATCCGCAAAACTACGTTCTCGTGGAAAATTTGCCTTCAATAAAACATTGCAAAGGTCAATTGCAAGTATCCAGAGCGCATTCTTTGTTTTCTGACTTACTCGACACATCTATCGACTAATCACCTATCAGCTCTGTACCTCTTTAAATCGATGGTAAAAAAAGAAATGAAAACTATTTTAAACTCAAGAGCAAAAATGTGGAGGATCCGGGCATCGATCCCGGTACCTCCCGCATGCTAAGCGGGCGCTCTACCATTTGAGCTAATCCCCCATTTATATGAAATTATCGCTAATCTATAACCGCTGTCTTTAGACACCTCTCTATCAGTAAAGAGAGTTTCCGCCGGGTGCTCCAACGAAATTATAATATATTTTTTTTCTGATATGAAAACAATAATAATAATAGTATCAAACTTGATGTCATTCATTTCTTTCAAAAACCGATTCACGAAAGGTTTACAAAAGGAATGCCACAGACTATTTGAAGGCTTGCAATTTTTAAGATATGCAACTATAGAGATAATGGAAAAAGGAAATAATAAAAATTCAAAATATTTCCTTCCTTCCTTCCTTCCTTCCTTCCTTCCTTCCTTCATTCCTCTCTGTCCTTCCAGTAGAGCATCCGCCCTCAGGCTGATGTTTCACTGATGAAACTGTCAGTCACACAGAGAAGGACATGATTTTTTTTTCCTACAAAGCGCAAATTGTCTCCATCCGCAAAAATTAAACTCTCACAAATTGTTTATGTCACACTGAAACAATCTTAAAATAAGTTGAAAACAGTCATAATTCCGAACACATCTAACTGACAACTGAAAATCGATGGCCGCAGATGTCAAGAAATTTGAAAAAAAAAAAATTTTAACCTTTCGTTTCGTTGTTTGAAAACATCCCCCAATTATTTTCTCTTTTCCCATCTGATCAAAATTTATAGAAGGAACCATAACAGGTGCAAAATGTTACTTAACTAAACCATCACAACCTTAGAAAACCATTTCAATATTTATTCATTATTCAATCCTCCTTAATTTCTCTCAGTGTCATTCGAACGGCAGCTGGTTATGATCTTAAATCCTTCTCTTACATCGTCTTCGGTTTTTAAATTTAAGGTTACTCGATCGTGAAAGCTGAGAAGCCAAAATTGATCCATATATGGATCAATTTACATGCCAATTAAAATGTCAAAATATTGGAATAGTCAAGAAATTGTTACTATTATTATTATTATTATTTTTTTAATATGCATTTTTTAGTTTTTGCGTCACTCAGAAAAAAATTGTTTTGGTCTTTCAAGTGATCGGAAATAGGGACCATTTATTGCAGTCAGAATTATCAAACATGAAAGTTTAATTCGAAATTTAAATGAGAAATATTTGACTTAAGGTCTCGCTTCTTTTAATATACATATAATGTAACATAATATATTACATATAATAACAAGAGAAATATCCTATAATTAAATTCCGTATTTCTTTTCCTCCTGCAAAATAATATGGTGTGTACCGACCATTCGTTTCGAATTTTTCTTTTAATATATTTAATATGTGCCAATTCTATCTATTTTTTTCTTACCCTTCAAAGTTTCTTTCGGAAAAACGATCTATCGTCAAAAGAAAGCCATCTATTGTTAGAAACTGCGACGATCAATTTCCCAACTACATATACAGTAGACTCCTTATTCTTTAGTCTCCCCGTTGTACTCTGTTAGCGACGACTGACCCTCTCCGTTCCGTATTGGAAACCACACGATCCCCCAAAATCTATCTTCCTCGGATTCTACTTGATTCTCTTAGTTCTTAGAATAACTTTTAGAATTTCACGCATCTGGAATCGGAGAAACATTTGTTCCCGCAAAGCATAAATGATCTCCAATTGCATGACAAAAACTTCCACCGCAATCTTTGCATATTACACAGAAATACTTCTTAGATAAAAATCACAACCGTTAAAATCTCCAAACAGATAAAATTATTCAAAAATATTTGGTGGACTTAGATTCCTAGCAATTTTAAACATACCTCATTGATCTTACGTTGTTGAAAAACATCTACAAGTTATTTTCTCTTCCTTTCGCGTCTGACAAGGACGCGAAGGAACTATACTAAAGGTAAAAAATATAAAAGCAATTAAACCAACACACCGTTCATCCAATTTTTATCTTTATTAACTTTCCTAACTTCAAAAATATCTCCCATTCACTATTTACCTTCTCCCTTTCAAGGCTGAAACATATTTCCATCTATAACAGTTCGTTTCGTTCAATTCTCATAAATCGTGCGCTTATAACCGGGAGTAGTGTAGTCTACAACAGTGCATTGCTATTATATGGCTTATTAGATCAAATTTAAAAACATAGAATGAGCAGAAGACAGTTTTAGGATTTGGCGAGAAAACAAGCAGCGAGTTCGCAGAGGCCTTGCCAAACAGAAAGCGCCTCTTGGCATCTGGGTTATGTTAATTCTCTCTTTCAATTTTTCTTTTTAGCTGACGGGTGAGATTGCCAAACAATGGTACTGTGTTTTTATTTGATATTTATTAGTATAATTAGGCAAATACCAAAGCATCTAAACCACAGCAGATGCTGTAAATCGTGTTTGTTTCATTGGATTTTCTTTTCTATTTCCCTTCAAATTACGCCTGATTAACGATTCCTAGAGAATATATCTAAGTTTATGGAAAGCAAAGTGCTCGTCGGATTGTCTACTTTACTGCTTGTCTTACTTCTTTGACTTTCCAGCAGAAAGGAAACGGGTTCAAAGTGGATTTAAAATATGTTAAAATTGTTGTTATACCATCAATAACGACTACATGTGAAGAATAAGTTTTTCTATAAGTGAGCACAAGCAACACTATAACTTTTGGTACATAACAAACGGCTCACTTCCTTCCTGTATCTTGCCATGTTTAGTGCAGTTGTTTGGCTCGACTGTTGTAGAACATGATCTTGTATTTGAGCATGATGATGCCTGAGAGTGCGAAATATGTTTGTGTAGGAAGCGATTGAGATTACTGAGCATGAAAGTTGACTACAATACCATACCAAAAGCTTATTCGAGTATGCAAAAAGGAAAATGAGGCAGCGGCGACGGAAAAAATCCTAAAAGTAGCTGTAATTATACAGGTGCGCGTTAAAGTTACTATTTGTCTGTATCTTATTCCTAACAACAGAGCGAGAAGTCTGTCCATGCTTAAGGCCGTCAATGTCAAAAAAGACACCCCACATAATGCATAGCTTGACATCCAATAAGTAGCAGCTAGAGGCTGAGTAACTGGACCAACCAAAAGATCAGTTCTTGCCAGACAACGATACAAGAGTTTGGACAGTGGATGAAGGTAAGATTCCTTGTTAAGGGCAGCAAGGATTAGGAAATTCCCAAGAAATGCTGTAATGGAGAGGAAAATGTTAACTGCTGAGAAAAAAATCGATTGTTGTTGAATCCCAACTACCCAGGTGGGGGAACATGGCAATAATTCATGTGCTTCCGTCTGTGATCCACCCTCTGTTGAGTTTGTCGTCGCAATCATGGTGCAGCTCTTAAAACGGTTTTCCTCCTTTCGCTATGGATTTTTTTGAACTGCTGGCAACACGGACGAATACTTCTTCGCAGCAACCACCTAGCCACGAAACAATAAAATGCTATAATTCTTGATATTATCAGCTCTAAAAACTTCTTCAATGCATCCTACTCGTCCTGAATTGGTTGAACGAACTGTCCGTCGAGGCAATTGGATATTTATACACATACATCTATCTTGGAATTTCAGGGTATGATTTGCATCAATAAACCCCTTAAAAGGTGTCCCACTGGCTGATAAATTTCATTCAAGAACGCGCTTTAAATAAGAGCTGAAAAAAAATTTCAAGGATGAAGACATTTGTTAATATATGTTGTTTTTGAAAAAACCTCTTTATAGCTAAAAAAAAAAAAAATAGGAATTGGCCCCAAACAGTATACGTAAATTGATTTTGAGGATATTTGTCGATCCGCAAAATGACGTTACCACTGAAAATCGTGTTCAAAAAAATATTGCGAAAGTCTGTTATCTTCAGTTCAATGAGAAACTACAAAAGTGAAACAATTGCGAGTATCCAGAGCGCATTCTTTGTTTTCAAACTTACCGGAAACATCTATCGACTTATCGCCGACCAGTTGCTTACCTTCTCTTTGTAAAACTATAGAGAAGATGGAAGAAGGAAATAATAAAATTTGAATTGTCTCTTTCCTTCCTTCCTTCCTTCCTTCCTTCCTTTCTGTCTCTTCAATTAAACATGCGCCCTCAGGCTGATGTTTCACTGATGAAACTGTCAGTCATGTAGAGACGGACTTACTTTTTTGCCTAAAAAGCACAAATTGTCTCCATCCGCATAAAATAAACTCCCGCAAAATGTTCATGCCACACGAAAAACAGTCTTGAAATAAATTCAAAACAGTAATAATTCCGAGCGCATTTAAGTGACAGCTGAAAATTAATCCATTAGCGCAGAATTTCTCGTCTGTAAAAGCCGAAGTTGGAGCACACTGGTACTTGTAGTAATGTCAATCAACACGCAGCATGTGACTTTAAAATCACCTAAAATGAGCAATGATGATGATAAACCATCAAATTATAGACTAATGATTTTTTTTGCCGTACAAAAGCCCTTTTTCCTGATTTTAGCAAATCTTTAAAGTAATAAACAACAGAAGAAAGAAACGCTACGATTTTCCCATCGATTTTTCGCCTACATGCATCTCTTTCAACGTGAAATTTTCCATTCCTACATAATTTAATATTTTGTCAAGTGATCGCCTTCAGCAAGAATTGTGTGACAGGTGTAGTTGAGAGAAACTTGTCACTGGCGCAGATTTTAAAAGGCATCCAAGACAAAAATACGGTGGTGCTCAAAAGATTTTTTAAATTTTTTTCAGCGACGAAATGATGAATTATAAAGGGATTTCAAGATTAGTGTTTTAGCTTTCTGGCAAGGGGAGATATTTGAGCTCAAAGTTGTCAAATATTTGGATGAATCGCAAAGTCTAAAAACATGGTCGTTTATTTGCCTCTGTTGATTGACAAGTCGTAAATCAAATTGACTGATACTCACGGCAGACATTAACTATGATGTAAAAAATTGTGTGAAAACCCTAAGAGTAATTGGTTAAATACCATCACAGTGAGAGCTTCATACCTTTTACCTATTTTACTATTTTTAATTTTACCGATTTCCTTGGTGAAAACCCAGAGAAACCGGGGGGTGGTCTTTCTCCCCCAGGAAAAAAACCAAAACAGAAACCAGTTTGTCTTTAGAGTTTTGGGGTAGACCCTTTAAACTGGCAAAGTTTCATTGAAATCGGTGAGGTGGCGTGTAGCACGACTCCCTGGTGCTCTCGTGGACACGCTCTTAAAATTAATCCATGGCCGTAGATGTCACGAAATTAAAAAAAAAAAATCTTTAACGTTTCGTTTCCCTATTTGAAGACATCCCTCAGTTGTTTTCTCTTCTTCTCGCATCTGAGCAGAATTTATGAAAGGAACCATGACAAATGCACAATATTTCTTAACTAAACTAACACGCCATTAGAAAGCCGTTTCAATGTTTTTCATTATTCCATCCTCCCTAATTTCTCTCAGTTTCATTCGAACGGCAGCCGGTTATGATCCTTAATTCTTCACCTACATTGTATTCTCGTTTAAAAATTAAAGTTACTCGACTTAAGCTTTACTAAAGGTCTCGCTCCTTTTGCAAACATGTAATAACACGAGAAAATGTCCTACATATTCCGTATTTCCCTTATTTTTGCGTGCAATGACTATCGACAATCCGTTCCGAATTAGCCTTTTAGATTATAACATAGCTAGTGAATTTGTCTAATCAAATTCAGTTGCGTAAGCGTGCTTTATATTCCTATTGTGCACGCACATTACGTCAGCAAAGAAATCTCTCGAGAAAAAAAAAAATTTCTCCGCGATTTTTTACTTTGGGATTTTACTATTTTACTTACTGGCCTAATTTTTCTTTGGGAATGGAGTTTTTAACTCCCCAAAAAGAACGAAAAGAAAAAGAAAACAAAGAACAGGCACGGCCGATGTCATCCCGTTTCGCAGGGTTGACAATGTTATAAAACAATTGGTTCATACGTCAGCTGTGCGTTCATCGAGATACAAGGCACTTGGGAAATTTGGAGAGCACTCAAGAAGCTAGATTAGCTCTCGGCTACGCCTCAAGCAACTCTTACGCATCTTTCGTGCTCTCCAAAGTGCCCGCGTGCTTCATATCTCGATGAACGCACGCTGACGTATGAACCAATTGTTAAATGTTCAATATATGTCAATTCTATTTTATTTTTTCTTGTCCTTCAAACCTTTCTTTCGGACAAACGATCTATCATTAAATAAAAGCCATCTTAGAAACCGCAACAGTCAATTTCCCGCATTTTTTAGACCGCATAAACAATAGAACCGTTATTCTTTGGCCCCCCCGTTGTACTCTGTTAGCGACGACTGACCCCCACAGTTCCGTATTGGAAATCATGCGATCCCCTAAAATTTTTCCTTAGATTCTACTAGATTCTCCTACTTCTTAGATCAAAATTTTAAATTTTCACGCATCTCAAATCGGAGAGACATTTGTTTCCGCAAAGCATAAATTATATCCAATTGCATAACTAAAACTCCCACCGCAATCTTTGAATATTACACGGATATACCTCTGACATAAAAGTCAAAACCATTATAATTTCCGAACATATAAAGTTATTTAAAGCTATTTAGTGGACTTAGATCCCAAGCAATTTCAAAAAACCTCTCATTGATGTCTCGTTATTGAAAAACATCTAAAAGTTATATGCTCTTTTTTTCGCGTCTAACAAGGACGTGAACGAGCTGCAGCTGGTGAAAAAAATGTAGTAACTTAATCAACGACCTGTCCATCCAATATTCATCTTTATTGACTTTCCTAACTTCTACAATATCTCTCATTCGCTATTAACCCTTTCACTTTCAAGGCTGAAATACATTCCCATCTAAAAGAGTTCATTTCGTTCGATTTATTATTAGGAGCAGTTTAGTCCACAATAGCGCGTTGTTACCATATGGCTTACTTGATCAATTTTAAAAGCATGGAATGAGCATCACAGCTTTACTAGCTTTACATTCCTAGTAGGATTTGGCAAGAAAATGAGAAGCGAGCTTGCAGAGGCCCTGCCATGCAGTATATCGGAGAAAAGTCAAACAGATAGCATCTCTTGGCATCTGGGTGATATTAATTCTGCCTTTCAGTCTGTCTTTTTTGCCGACGGGGTTAGAATACTAAACAATTGTACTGTGTTTCTATTTGGTTTTTATTAGCATAAATAGGCAAACATTAGAGTATGCATTTTTAAATTTCAGGCATCTGGAATCGGAGAGACATTTGTTCCCGAAAAGCATAAATGATCTCCAATTGAGTAACTAAAACTCCACCCGCAATCTTGATATATTACAAGCAAATATTTCCGAGATAAAAGTCTCAACCGTTATAATAAGCTAACATAGAGAATTATTCAAAATTATTCAGCGGACCTAGATTCCTAGTAATTTCAAACAATGTCTCATTGCTGTCTCGTTATTGAAAAACGTCTACAAGTTTTTTCTCTTCCTTTCGCGTCTGACAAGGACGCAAAAGAACTGCAACAGTTGAAAAATATAAAGTAAATAAACCAACAAACCGTCCATCCAATTTTCATCTTTATAAACTTCCTAACTTCTACAATTAGGAGCAGTTTAGATCACAATAGCGCGTTGTTATTATATGGCTTACTAGATCGATTTTAAAAACTTGGAATGAGCAGCAGACAGCCTTAGGATTTGGCGAGAAAATGAGCAGCGAGTTTGCAGAGGCCCTGCCATACACTATATAGGAGGAAAGTCAAACAAATAGCACCTCTGACGTCTGACTGATATTAATTCTGCCTTTCAATTTGTCTTTTTGCCAACGCGGTTAGAATTCTATATAATGGTACTGTGTTTTGATTTGATATCTGTTAGCTTGTACGATTCTATCTTCTTTTTTCTTTCCCTTCAAATTACGCCTGATCTATACAGGTCTGACAACTCCAAGAAAATATATCTAAGTCGATGGAAAGCAAAGTGCTTGTTGGATTGTCTGCTTTACTGCTTTTCTCACTTCTCTGATTCTCCAGCAGTAAAGGAACGGGTTCAAAGTGGAGTTAAAATATACTAAAATGGTTGTAATTGAGTCAATAACGACTAAACGAGAAGAATAAGTTTTGCTATGATTGATAACAACCAGTATTATAAATTTTGGTACATAACAAACAGCCAATGCTAACTGCACCCACAGTGCACTGCTTAGTGCCTTCCTGTATCTTTCCATGTTCAGAGCAGTTTCTTGGCTCGGCTGTTGTTGAACATGATCTTGTACTTGAGCCTGATGATGTCTAAGAGTGCGAAATATCTTTGTGTACGAGGCAATTGAGATCACTGAGCATAACGCTATAACTATAATACTATACCAACGGATTATTCGAGAGTGTGAAATGGAAATTGATCCAGCGGCGACGGATAAGATCCAAAACGTAGCTGTAATGATGTATGTGCGCTTTAAAGTTGCTATTTGTCTGTATCTTATTCCCAACAACAGAGCGAGAAGTCTGTCCACGCTTATGGCCGTCAACGTAAACAAAGACACTCCACATAATGCATAGGTTGATATGAAGGCTGCGTCCCTTGCGTGTCGACAAAGACTCCAGTGTTTGTGAACCACGGACATCCAGAAAGTAGCAGCGAGAGGCTGGCTAATAAGACCAACCAATAGATCAGTTGTTGCCAGACAACGATACAAGAGTTTGGACGGTGGACGAAGGGAAGATTCCTTGTTGAGGGCAACAAGAATTAGAAAATTCCCAAGAAATGCTGTGATGGAGAGGAAAATGTTAACTATTGAGAAACAAATCGATTGTTGTGGTAACCCAACTAACAAGAAGGAGGAGCATCGCGATAGTTCATAGGTTTCAGTCTGTGTTCCACCCTCTTTTGAGTTTGTCGTTGCAATCATGGTGCAGTTCTTAAAACGGTTTTCCTCCTTTCGCTACGGTTCTTCGGAACTGCTGGGAACACGGGATAATACTTCTTCACAACAACCACCTAGCCAAGAAACAGTGAAATCTTATTTTTTCTCTATATCATCCACGCTAAAAACCTCCTAAATGCATCCAACTTATATTAAATTGGTTGAACGAACTGGCAGTCGAGACAATTAGTTAACAATACATATAGACCTTTCTTGAAATTTGGAGGATGTGCCTTGCATCAATCAACCTCCCAACCCCATATGGTGTCCATCTGGTCGATAGATTTCATGCAAGAACGCATTTTAAATGAGAGCTGGTAAAAATTTTAAGGTTAAGGACAACCGTTAGTTCCACATTAAAAAAAAAAAAAAAAAAAAAAAAAAAATAATAATAATAATAATAATAATAATAATAATAATAATAAAATAAAACAAAACATACAAACTTTTCCGTAGTTGAATATATAAAAAATGCCCCGGAACGGTAAATCTAAATTGATTTTGAGGATATTTGGCGATCCGCAAAATTACGTTCCCAGCTGAAAAATCGCGTTGAATAAAACATTGCGAAAGTTTGTTATTTTCAGCCAAATTAGAAACTACAAAAGGGAATCAATTGCAAGTATCCAGAGCACATTCTTTGTTTTAGGACTTACTCGGAGCATCTATCGACAAATCGCCCACCGGCTTTTGTTAAACTATAGAGAAGATGGCAAACGGGAATAATAAAACTCAAATTATTTCCTTCCTTCATTCCTTTCTTTCCTGCCAGTAGAGCATCCCCCCTCCGACTGATGTTTCACTGATGAAACTAGTAGTCATGTAGAGACAGACCTAATCTTTTTCGTACAAAGCATAGACTTTCTCCATCCGCAAAAATAAAAACTCCCACGAAATGTTCACGCCACACGAAAAACAGTCTTGAATAAATTCAGAAACAATCATCATTCCGACCTCGTTAATTAATCTAGGACCTTTGATATCAAGAAATTTGAGGAAAATGACGTTTCGTTTCGTTATTTGAAAATATCCCGCAATTATTTTCTCTTGCTGTCGCAACTGATCAGAATTTATAAAAAGAACCATCTTCCCTAATTTCTCTCAGTCTCATTCGAACGGTCGCTGGTTGTGATCTTAAATTATTCTCTTGCATTGTCTTCGTTTTTAATTTTCTTTATGTCATCAACTCTAAAATCTTCCTCAGTGCATCCTACTCGTTTTAAATTGGTTGAGGGAACTGTTAACCGAGACTATTACATATTAATACATGTAAACCTTTCTTGGAATTTAGAGGGTATGCCTTGCATAAATCAACCCCCTAAAAGGTGTCCCTCGGGCTGATAAATTTTATTCAAGAATGCATTTTAAATAAGAGGTAATAAAACTCTCAAGGATGAAGACATCTGTTAGTTTGTTATTTTTTGATAAACCTCTCTTTAGATACAAAAATAAGAATTGGCCCGGAACGGTATACCTGAATTAATTTTCAGGATATTTGTCGATCCGCAAATTGACGTTCCCGCTGAAAAATCGCATTCAATAAAAAATTGCGAAAGTCTGTTATCTTTTGCCAAATTATAAGCTACAAAAGTGAATGAGTTGCAAGTATCATGAATTTATTCAAAATTATTTGGTGGACTTAGATTCCTAGTAATTTCAGACTATATCTCATTGATATCTCGTTATTGAAAAACATCTACAAGCTAGTTTCTCTTCCTTTCGCTTCTGACAAGAACCTGAAGGAATTGCAACAGGTAATAAATGTAAAGTAACTAAACCAACAAACCGTCGATTTAAATTTCCATCTTTATAAACTTTCCTAACTTCTACAATATCTCGCATTCGCTATGTACCCTTTCTCTCTCAAGGCTGAGACATATTCTCATCTAAAAGAATTAATTTCGTTCAATTCTTATAAATCGTGCGCTTATAATCAGGAGCAGTTCAGTCCACAATAGCGCGTAGTTATTATATGGTTCACTACATCAATTTAAAACACGAAATAATCAGGAGATAGCATTAGCATTTGATATGAAAAAAAGCAGCGAGTTCACAGAGGCACTGCCATATAGTATGTCGGAGGAAAGTCAAACAGATAGCACCTCTCGGCATCTGGGTTATGTTAGTCCTGCCCTTTTCAATTTATCTTTAAGCCGACGGGGTTAGATTTCTGAACAATGGTACGGCGTTTTTATTTAATATTTATCAGCATAAATAGGAAAACGTTAAGGCATCTAGAACACAGCAGATGCTGAAAAATTATGTTTGTTTCATTCTATCTTTTTTTCTCTGTCCCCTCAAATTACGCCTGATTAATACAAGTTTGACAATCCCGTGAAATTATATCTAACTCCGTGGAAAGCAAAATGCTCGTCGGATTGTCTGCTTTACTGCTTTTCTCACTTCTCTGACTCTCCAGCAGTAAAGAAACGGGTTCAAAGTGGAGTTGGAATATAATATAATACATGTAATTCCATCGATGACGACTACATGTGAAGAATATGTTTTTCTATAATTGTTCATAAACAGCGTTATAAATTTTGGTACATAACAAACAGCTAATGCTAACTGCACCCACAGTGCACTGTTTGCTGCCTTCCTGTATCTTGCCATGTTCAGAGCAGTTGTTTGGCTCGGCTGAACATGATCTTGTACTTGAGCCTGATGATTTCTAAGAGTGCGAAAAATCTTTGTGTACGAGGCGATTGAGATCACCGAGCATGGCGGTATAAAAATAATAGTATACCAAATAACTATTCGATTATGTGAAATGTAAAATGATCCAGCGGCGACGGATAAAATCCAAAAAGTAGCTGTAATGATACATGTGCGCTTTAAAGTTACTGTTTGTCTGTATCTTATTCCCGACAACAGAGCGAGAAGTCTATCCACGCTTATGGCCGTCAACGTCCACAAAGACACCCCACATAACGCATAGCTTGATATGAAGGCTGCGTCCTTTGCGTATCGACAAAGACTCCATTCTTCGTAAACCAAGGACATCCAATAAGTTGCAGCGAGAGGCTGGCTTATAAGACCAACCAACAGATCAGCTGTTGCCAAACAACGATACAAGAGTTTGGATGGTGGATGAAGGGAAGTTACCTTGCTAAGGGCAACAAGGATGAAGGAATTCCCAAGAAATGCTGTGATGGAGAGGAAAATGTTAACTGCTGAGAAAGCAATCGATTGTTTTTGTTGTAACCCAGCCATCAAGGAGGGAGAGCATAGCAATACTTGATATGCTTCAGTCTGTGTTCCACCCTCTGTTGAGTTTGTCGTCGAAATCATAGTGCAGCTCTTAGAACGGTTTTCCTCTTTTGGGTACGGTTTTTGGAATTACTGAGAAAACGGCATAATACTTCTTCACAGCAACCACCTGGCCATGAAACAGTTAAATCTTATTTTCTTTATATCATCCACGCTAAAAACTTCCTCAATACATCCTACTTGTTTTAAATTGGTTGAACGAACGGTCAGTCCAGACAATTAGATAACAATACATATACACCTTTCTTGAAATTTAGAGGGTGTGCCTGACATCAATTAAACCCGTTTGGTGTCAATCTGGTCGATATATTTCACTCAAGAACGCATTTTAAATAAGAGCTGATAAAAATTTTAAGGTTAAAGACAACTGTTAGTTTAATATTAAAAGAAAAAACCTCTCTGTAGATAAACAAATAGAAATTGCTCCGGAACGGTATACCTACATTGATTTTGAGGATAATTGTCGATCTGCAAAATTACATTCCCGCTGAAAAATCGGGTTCAATAAAACATTGCGAAAGTCTGTTATCTTCAGCCAAATGATAATCTACAGAAGTGAATCAATTGCAAGTATCCAGAGCACATTCTTTGTTTTCCGACTTAATCGGAACATCCATCGACTAATCGCCTACCAGCTTTTTACATTCTATACAGAAGTTGGAATATTGAAAAGCAAAAAGAAAAAAAAGAGATAATAAAAAATGTAAATAATTAATCTCCTTCCCTCCTTCCTTTCTGTCCTTTCAGTTGAATATCCACCCTCAGGCTGATGAAACTGTCAGTCATATAGAGACTGAGATGATTTTTTTTCCCTGCATAGCACGAATTGTCTCCATCCGCAAAAATAAAACTCCCGCAAAATGTTCATGCCACGCGAAAAACATTCTTAAAATAAATTCAAAACAGTTATTATTCTGAACACAATTAACTGGCAGCTTAAAATTAACGTTTGGCCGTAGATATCAAGAAATTTGAAAAAAAAAATGTTTGACGTTTCGTTTCGTTATTTGAAAATATCCCGCAGTTATTTTCTCTTCTTGTCGCATCTGATCAGAATTTATAACAGGAACCATGACAGGTGCAAAATGTTACTTGACTAAACTATCACACCCTTGGAAGGCCATCTCAATATTTCTTCATTATTCCATCCTATTAAATTTCTCTGTCTCATTCGAACGGCAGCTGGTTGTGATCTTAAATTCTTTTCTTACGTTGTCTTCGTTTGTTTAAATTTAAAGTTTCTCAAGCAAACGCTGAAAAGCCAAAATTGATCGATATATGGTTATGAATTTCCAAAATGCATCGGAAGTTTGATACATACATTGAAGTAAAATACTGGATGGAAGACATGCCTATTAAATTGTTAAAATATTGGAATATTCAAGAAATTATTACTTTCTTATTACTTTGGGCTTTTTAGTGATCGGCAAATAAGGACCTTTCATTGCAGTCTCAATTATTTATATAGAAATTTTAATTGCAAATTTGAACTAAAATCATTTAACTAAAGGTCTCGCTTCTTTTGCAAACATATAATAACACGATAAAATATCCATATTAAAATTACGTATTTTTTTTCTTCTGCGATACAACTTGATGTGTACCGACCACTCGTTTCGAATTTTCCTTTTAATATGTTTAACATATTATTTTAACAACGGTCAATTTCCGGCGTTTTTAAGACTACATAAACAATAGAACCTCTATTTTCAGTCACCCCGTTGTATTCTATCAGCGACGACTGACCCCCCCCCCATCTCCCTCATCCCCCCCCCCTCTTAGTTCCGCATTGGAACTCATATGATTCTCCAAAATCTTCCTCAGATTCTCCTCGATCTTAGAATAAATTTTAGAATTTCACGCATCTGGAATCAGAAAGACATTTGTTTCCGCAAATCATTAATGATCCCCAATTGCAAAACAAAAACTCCCACCGTAATCTTTGCATATTACACGGAAATACCTCTGAGATAAAAGTCATAACCGTTTAAATCTCCGAACACATCAATTTATTCCAAATTATTCGGTGGACTTAGATTCCTAGTAATTTTAGACAATATCTCATTGATATCTCGTTATTGAAAAGCATCTACAAGCTATTTTCTCTTCCTTTCACCTCTGACAAGAACCTGAAGGAACTGCAACAGTTAATAAATGTAAAGTAACTAAACCAACAAACCGTCCATCCAATTTTCCTCTTTATAAACTTTCCCAATTTCTACAATATCTCGCATTCGCTATTTACCGTTTCTCTCTCAAGGCTGAGATATATTCCCATCTAAAAGAGTTAATTTCGTTCAATTCTTATAAATCGTGCACTTATAATCAGGAGCAGTTCAGTGCACAATCGCGCGTAGTTATTATGTGGTTCACTACATCAATTTTAAAACATGAAATAATCAGAAGATAGCCTTAGTATTTGACATGAAAAAAAGCAGCGAGTTCGCAGAGGCCCTGCCATATGGTATGTCGGAGGAAAGTCAAACAGATAGCACCTCTCGGCATCTGGGTGATGTTAATTATGCCCGTTTCAATTTGTCTTTTAGCCGACGGGGTTAGATTTTTAAACAATGGTACGGTGTTTTTATTTGGTATTTATCAACATAAATAGGCAAACATTAAAGCATTTAGAACGCAGCAGATGCTGACTGGAAAAATCGTGTTTATTTCATTCTATCTTTTTTTTCTCTGTCCCTTCAAATTACGCCTGATTAATGCAAGTCTGACAACTGCGAGAAATTGTATCCAACTCCATGCAAAGCAAAATGCTCGTCGAATTGTCTGCTTTACTGCTTGTCCCACTTGTTCGACTCTCCAGCAGTAAAGAAACGGGTTCAAAGTGGACTTTAAATGTGTTATAATACATGTAATCCCATCGATGACGACTACATTTGAAGAATAAGTTTTTCTATAATTGATCATAAATACCGTTATAAATTCTGGTACATTAAAAAAAAACTAATGGTAACTGCACCCACAGTGCACTATTTACTGCCTTCCTATATCTTGCCATGTTCAGTGCATTTGGTTGGATTGGCTGTTGTTGAACATGATCTTGTACCTGAGCCTGACAATGTCTGAGAGTGCAAAGTATCTTTGTATACGAGGCGATTAAGATCACTGAGCATGACGGTATAACTATAATACTACACCCAATGGTAATTCAAGTATGTGAAATGTAAAATGATGCAGTGGCGACGGATAAAATCCAAAACGTACCTATTATGATACATGTGCGCTTTAAAGTTACTATTTGTCTGTATCCTATTCCCAACAACAGAGCGAGAGGTGTCCACGCTTATGGCCGCCAACGTCAACAAAGACACGGAACATAATGCATAGCTTGATATGAAGGCCGCGTCCCTTGCATATCGACAAAGACTCTAGCGTTCGTGAACCAAGGGTATTCAATAAGCCGCAGCAAGATGCTGGGTAACAAGACCAACCAACATATCAGTTGTTGCCAGACAACGATATAAGAGTTTCGATGGTGGATGAAGGAAGTTTCCTTGTTAAGGGCAACAAGGTTTAGAAAATTTCCAAGAAATGCTGTGACGGAGAGGAAAATGTGAACTGCTGAGAAAGAGTTCCATTGTTGTTGTAACCCAACTACAACTCGTTCGAAAGGCAGCTGGTTCTGATCTTAAATTCTTTTCTAGATTTCCTCTTGCGAACGCTGATAAGCCAAAATTGATCGATATAAGGTTACGAATTGCCAAAATGGATCGAAAATTTTAATTCATGACAGCCTTTAATACTGAATAGCGAATATGCCTAATAAAATGTCAAAATATCGTAATATTCAATAAATTATTAAGAGAGGATTTGCAGCATTCATCGAACAAATTTGAAATATTGTGGCAAGTCACAAGTAAATTTTGCCGGACTTTGAGTTCGTTTCAAGATAGAGCAACAAAAATACACAAAGAAATTTTTACAGTAACTTTATAACCGTCCTTTTGTCTTATAAAAGCTTGAAGCTCAGTAGATTGTGTGATATCGGTCATTGTTAAAACTGTCTTTGTTTTGATACTACTTTTCGACATAGGAAAAGTATGTCAGACAAAAATATTCACCAAAAAATAAATATTTCTTTGCCAGCTTCAATAATGACAGGGGATTAAGTTTAGATGATAAAACAAAGGATTATGTTAATAAAATTACCGTAGGTCTAGTACATTCGTTATATGAGGTCACACAACTGGCGTCATATTCACGGTGAAAATTTGCATATTTGAGCGGTCGAACGAAAAAAATTATTTCTCGAAAACTAAAATAAATTTTTACAAAAAAAACTATACCAAAATTATTAGAACATATTGGGCTACAAAATATGAAAGTAGGAGGGAAAACAAATTTGGGTGACTTGTCGCTGTTTGCTTGATGCATGCTGACATTAGCTCTTAAGAGTAAATGTCAGTAAAAATCAAGGAAAATTCAAAAATCGTGGCCACGGTCAAAATATCGATTGCGCTCATACTTTGTCAGTTTGAAGGCCTAGGTAAGTAACTGAAGGATATGAGGTTAGATTTTTGAAATATTCCATATAACGGCAGAAAACCACGAAAAACGGTCACCCTACCGGAAGCTCGGATTTCACCTGGCGGAAACTCGAAATTTTACACTTTTCAGCTTCTCGCTACACAGACGTTTACATAGCTGTGAATCTTTCTTAAGTATAATTGAATACATTGATTCTTCCTTAGTCAAACCATGGGAATTATTTTTATCTCTGCTTATTTGTGAGTGAACTGAGACCCGATTAAGAAGACGCACTTTTCTCATTTACGCGAAGGTGTAAAATAATCCAAACTCAGCGACGAAAAAAGCTGACCGGTAGTTCTTCAAATCCTCTGATATTATAACCAAAGACAGCTCAGTCATTGATTTTTAGGTCTACGGTTTTAAATCTTTAGGATCTAGTAGCACTTTTGCATGAACGCCGATCAAAATTCGATAAAATTCCAATTGAGCGCCTTTGAAATCTACAACTCTACATAACAAAGCACTATTGAATAAATTAACTCCTCGGCCAAAGTTTGTACATAAAACATAAGGGTTTTGCTTTTTTAGCGGTTTGAAGTGTTTTAAAAATATATATTAATGTTAAATATTGTCTACACAGGTAAAACAAACTATGAAACACCAAAATTACCACGAGCTGAAATTAAATCTCACAGGCTCGCTCCCTAATCTGCGTCACGCACGAGCGACTTAGCTACAATTAGCACAGTAACAAACAGATATTTACATCCGTTGATTTTAAATAAGTCGTATTTTTAAAATATCTTACTCAAAGATGTGCCAGGTTTCCCAGTTAACTTGCTGAAAAAAAAGAAAACCTTAATAGTAATTCTAGCTCAATAATAATTGATTTTATTTAGTATGAGAAGTTTTGTGCCGTCGAAAACCAAACGGAAGTAACTGTTTCCACGAAAAGCAAATATTGCATCGTTCTCTAAATAAACAAATCTACTTAACCATATAACCAGAGTATGTTGTTGGCGAAGTTAATAGACATACATAACAACGACGTCTTGCTCGTTCTTGAATATTGTCGGTGGGATTTGCGGCGCAGACGAACGCACTTGCCAAGTAACTTCCAATGGCTAATTTCTACCCTTACTCAGCTTTCGTCACACTGCTCACGCTGTGTAACAAGGATATAAAACATCGCACGAAGTCCTAAAAAACTCTCCGGACTTGAACCAGAATTGATTTTAGCAAGATTGCGTGTTTTTAAAAGCCAACGAGTTTATTGGAGATGACTACCCGTACCGTCTCATCGTGTCACTTAGGCATAACCTGACACGATGTCGATAGTTTCGACTCCTGATGGCCGAGAGCACTCGGTTTTTTTTTTCCGAGTACGCCTGTGTCACTTACTGAATAATACATCATTCTCATTTATTCACCAGGCTTAAAAATATTCCATCACATTTATTCCATTGCGCGTATGCCACACATGACATTCCAATCCTAGCAGTATGCAGGATGTTTGTCCCATGAAGCACTCGGATTTTTTTTCCGATTATGCCTGTGTCACTTACTGAGTTATACATCATGTTCAAAAGTATTAATTTTTGCACCATACAGGAAGTTGTTTCGGGTCAGCAAGAGCTGTGAAAAGTAGCCGCACTGGAATAGGAATATATTTTTTCCAATCCATGAAGATATTTGACCTTTCAAAATAGCTCGTCCCTATGGGCTCAGGTAAATAACAACTAGAAAATGTACTACCAAGCAGGAACTGTCTCCAATGAGTTTTGTATCCTCTTCATTCTGTTGTCCAATGCGACTATTAAAAACACTATGAGTTTTACGACTTGCATGTTTTATTGATTGCGCTTGTCAAACAACACTACAGTCTGTCATTGATAGAGAAAATAAAGTTTAATTTTGACAATATTCGATGAAAAATACTAAGAATTTTCCAAAGAGGGCACCGAAGAATAAATAATGTGCACTGTCATTTTTACGACATTTAAAAAGGAGGGAAGGGGGTGGGGGAAAGGATTTAACAACCATACTACTCTCTCTCCCCAACCACCCACAAAGTGCACAGTTTGCACAGTATACTAGTGGAAACGTCACATCAACATTTATATGTTTACGTTTAATAGCACAATTACGGTCGTTGCATCACTCCAATATGGCCATAATAAATAATTCATTGGAGACAGTTTCTGTTTGGTAGAACATCAAGTAGTTGGTTGCTTACCTGAGCCCACAGGGACGAGCTGTTTTGAAAGCTCAAATATCTTCATGGATTGGAATAAATTTATTCCTTTTTCCAGTGCGGGTGCCTTCTCAGCTCCTTGCTGTGACCAGAAACAACTTCCGGGATGGTGCAAAGATTACCCGTCCTTCGCCAACCTAAACCTAACTTGGCACGATGAACCGGACAGATAGTCATAACCGATAAATTCGCCGGCTTTTGAAAACATCCACATCTCGCCAAAATTAATTCTACCTCCGTTTCAATTCCGGAAAATTTCAACGACTTTTTGTGAATTTTGATATCCCTGTTACACCGCATGAGAGGCGTGACGGAAGTTGAAGAACTTGTGCGTTCGTCTGCGCCGCAAATCCCACCAACAATATTCAAGAACGAGCAAGACATCGCTGTTCTATGAAGTTCCCCGACAATAAACTCTGGTTTTAGATGCAATGTTTCACAGATAAAGATAATTCGATTTATTTATTTAAAGAACGATGCAATTTTCGTGAGAACAGGTACTTCTGATTGGCTATCGACCGCATAAAGCTTCTCATTCTTAATAAAATCAATTCTTATCGTTTCAGTTTGAATTGCTATTATGATATTTTCTTTTATTTTTACTTCAGCAAGTTAACTAGGGAACCTGGCACATCGTTGAGTAAGATATTTTAAAATAAGACTTATTGTAAATATCTGTTTGTTACTGTACTAATTGTAGCGAAGTCGCTCGTGCGTGACACAGATTAGTGAGCGAGCCTGTGAGATTTAATTTCAGCTCGTGGTAATTTTGGTGTTTCATAGTTTGTTTTACCTGTGTAGACAATATTTAACATCAATATATATTTTTAAAAGGTTCAAACCGCTAAAAAAGCAAAACCCTTATGTTTTATGGACAAACTTTGGCCGAGGAGTTAATTTATTCAATAGTGCATTGTTATGTAGAGTTGTAGATTTCAAAGGCGCTCAATTGGAATTTTATCGAATTTTGATCGGCGTTCATGCAAAAGTGCTACTAGATCCTAAAGATTTAAAACCGTAGACCTAAAAATCAATGACTGAGCTGTCTTTGGTTATAATATCAGAGGATTTGAAGAACTACCGGTCAGCTTTTTTCGTCGCTGAGTTTGGATTATTTTACACCTTCGCGTAAATGAGAAAAGTGCGTCTTCTTAATCGGGTCTCAGTTAGCTCACAAATGAGCAGAGATAAAAATAATTCCCATGGTTTGACTAAGGAAGAATCAATGTATTCAATTATACTTAAGAAAGATTCACAGCTATGTAAACGTCTGTGTAGCGAGAAGCTGAAAAGTGTAAAATTTCGAGTTTCCGCCAGGTGAAATCCGAGCTTCCGGTAGGGTGACCGTTTTTCGTGGTTTTCTGCCGTTATATGGAATATTTCAAAAAACTAACCTCATATCCTTCAGTTACTTACCTAGGCCTTCAAACTGACAAAGTATGAGCGAAATCGATATTTTGACCGTGGCCACGATTTCTTTGATTTTTACTAACAATCACTCTTAATTTTTTCTTATTTTTTATTTTTTGAAATATGCACTTTTCTGTTTTCGAGCCACTCAGAAAAATTATTTTGGGCTTTCGAGTGATCGGCAAATAAGGACCATTCATTGCAGTCCGAATTATTTGGAACGATAAATTTAATTCTCCATTTAAACTCTACTTATTCAGCTAAAGGTCTTGCTTCCTCTCCCGACATATAATAACACGAGAAAATATCCCATGGTTAAATTCCGTATTTCTCTTTCTCCTGCAATATAATGTGGTGTGTACCGACCATTCGTTTCGAATTTTCCTTTTAATACTTCAATATGCGTCAGTTCTATCTTATTTTTTTCTTGCCCTTCAAAGTTTCTTTCGGACAAACGATTTATCCTCAAATAAAGCCATAAATTTCCCGCATTTTTAAGACTACATAAACAATAGAACTCTATGGGCGGCCGTCACCATCAAAAATACAAAGATGTTAAATAGATCAGCAAATACAAAGCTGGTCTACAGATCAGGTGCAGGACAGCATAGCTAAAAAGGAATGGCATGGCCAAATTATGGACGGTTTAGTTTTCCTTCATGAATCAAAACACCCTTAACATGAATAATTTAGCCAAATGATAAACAGTCTAGTTGCCCATGTCGAGTTGGAACATGAAATTATGAAATGGACTAGCTCAATTACGAATAGCTTAGCACTCATTTACAATACAGTACACAAACGGTGTACCGTGAATGAAAGTGATCCTCGCAGTAATGTGCACTACTTGGGCAGTAGTGAAAATAAGGCCTGAAAAAAATTCAGGCCTGTACGGGATTTGAACCCATGACCTCTGCGATACCGGTGCTGAGCTAACAAGCCAACTGGGAGCTGATCATGATGTCGGTTCCAAATAAATCCGTGAAGTGATGAATAAGCGGTTAAGAATATATGAAAGTCATATATTTGAACTGCAGATAAAGACGTGAATGAAAGTGATCCTCGCAGTAATGTGCACTACTTGGGCAGTAGTGAAAATAAGGCCTGAAAAGGGATCACTTTCATTCACGTCTTTGTCCGCAGTTCAAATATATGACTTTCATATGTTCTTAACCGCAGTTCAAATATATGACTTTCATATATTCTTAACCGTTTAAACGGCGTACCGTTGCGTGAAATGGCTCAGGGTAATGTCGAGTAGCACAGCGTACGCACAAGCGGTAAGCATTGCGTCAATTTGCTCAGCGTAATGTAGAATGGTATAGCGTGCACACAAATGGTGTAGCGTTGCGTGAAATGGCTCAGCGAAATGTCGAATGGTACAGCGTACACACAAACAGTGGGCCATATCTTTCTAACGTGTTTATTAATGACTTAGAGATCAATCTAGAAGGTCGCCCAGCCTTGTTTAAATATGCTGATGATTCTACAATTATCGTCCCTTTTTGGGGAAACGGCCTGTGTCGCACTGACTTGGTGGATCAGTTTCTTAGCTGGTCCAGCCGCAATCGCAGTGCATGCAATCCAACAAAATGCAAGGAGATTATTTTCCGTAAGAAAGGTTTCAGTCAGGACATCGCGCCAGTTAGTAATATACTGCAGTGCGCAGAGTTATCCATATTAGGTGTTACCTTCCAACAAAATTGTAAATACAGTAGTCACGTGCGCGCGAAGGTAATTAAGGCGAACAAGTCATTATTCGTATTAGGATCCTTACGTAGGGAAGGAATGTCTCAGGAGGTAGTAGATCACCTTTTTAACGCAGTAGTTTTATCAAATTTTTCTTACGCTCTGCCGGTTTATGGTGCCTCAGATTCCGACCTTTCTGTAATACAGAATTTTTTAGACCGGTGTATGAAAAGAAAGTTTATGTCCAAGAATGTAAATATCAGGGATTTGCTAGAGAGGGCGGAGAAGACACTCTACAAAAAAAGATCGAATGACCCCGAATGCCCGTACTTCCAGTTTTTACCTGAGGAAAAGAACATGAGGTACAATCTTAGAAATACGTCAGTCTCTGTCCCGAGAATCTACACTGACAGGTTTAAGAACGTTTTTAGTAACATAATAATTTTTAGATATGATATTTAAATAGTTTATATTGTAACTTAGGATATGTGATTTTATCTTAAAAAATAAAGATGATGATGATGATTATTATTATTAGTATTAGTATTATTAATACTACATGTTTGATAGACGCTTTCATGAACGACAACGCATAAATGCAATATCGGCCGGGAAAAGAAAAAAGGAGAAACTGACCGAATTGGCTCTGCTTTACTGCAAGGCGAAGTGAGGACTCTTCATGATAGCGACTACACCATGTGATGGTTTCGCGACAGTCTTGACATTCGATGATGTCATGCCCCCCAGCAAATCGCTGTTCTATTTGCGGTTGTACTTTTGGTGGTTTCGGCGAGATAGCCTTCACGTCACACCACAAGCGAGCTCTACGATTAGAAAAATTTCATGTAATGCTAAGCAATTGAATGTTCAGCTAGAGCGTCTGATGTTCTACAAAGACGTGTGTACGCTGTACCATTCGACATTACGCTGCACCATCCGACATTACGCTGAGCCATTTCACACAACGCTACACCATTTGTGTGTACGCTGTACCAATCGACATTACGCTGAGCCATTTCACGCAACGCTACATTGTTTTTATGTACGCTGTAGCATTCGACATTACGCCCAGCCATTTCACGCAACGCTACACCATTTGTGTGTACGCCGTACCATTCCACATTACGCTGAGCTATTTAACGCAACGCTACACCATTTGTATGTACGCTGTACCATTCGACATTACGCTGAATTATTTCACGCAACGCTACACGGTTTGTGCGCAAGTTGTGCTACCCGGCATTACCCTGAGCCATTTCCCGCAACGCTACACCGTTTGTGTACTCTACTGCAAATGAATACTAAGCTATTCGTAATTAAGCTTGTTAATTTCATGATTTCGTGTTCCAACTCGACATGGGCAACTAGACCGTTTATCATTGGCTAAATTATTCATGTTTAGGGTATATCTCTTTGATGTCTCGTTATTGAAAAACATCTACAAGCTATTTTCTCTTCCTTTCGCATCTAACAAGGACCTGAAGGTAAGGCAACATGTGATTTCCCGCGTTTTTAAGACTACATAAACAATAGAACCCTTATTCCATATGATGCCCCCAAAGTCTCCCTCAGATTCTACTTGATTCTCTTAGTTCTTGGAATAACTTTTACGCATCTGGAATCGGAGAGACATTTGTTCCGCAAAGCATAAATTATCTACAATTGAATGACAAAAACTTCCACCGCAATATTTGCATATTGCACGGAAATACTCTCAGATAAAAGTCACAACCGTTAAAATCTCCAAGTAATTAAACCAACACATCGTTCATCCAATGTTCATCTTTATTAACTTTTTTAACTACTACAATATCTCCCATTCGCTATTTACTCTTTCTCTTTCAAGGCTGAAACATATTCCCATCTAAAACAGTTCATTTCAATTCTCGTGCGCTTATAATCAGGAGTAGTTTAGTCTACAATAGTGTATTGTTATAATATGGCGCATTAGATCAATTTTAAAAAAACATGGAGTGAGCAGAATACAGCCTTTAGGTTAGTATTTGGCTGGATGGATAATATTGGTTCTGCCTTTCAATTTTTTTTTTTTTTTTTTGCTGACAGGTTAGATTACTAAACAACGGGTCTATGTTTTTATCTGATATTTATCAGCATAATTAGGCAAAACCTAAAGCATCCAAAACAACATAGATGCTGAAATATCGTGTTTGTTTCAGTCGATGTTCTTTTTTCTTTCCCTTCAGATTACGCCTGATTAACGATTCCGAGAAATTACATCTAAGTCCATGGAAAGCACAGTGCTTGTCGGATTGTCTGCTTTACTGCTTGTCTCACTTCTCTGACTTTCCAGCAGTAAAGAAACGGGTTCAAAGTGGAGTTAAAATATGTTAAAATGGTTGTTATTGCATCAATAACTACTACATGTGAAGAATAAGTTTTTCTATGAGTGAGCACAAGCAGCACTATAACTTTTGGTACATAACAAACGGCTAATGCTAACTGCACCCACAGTGCACTGCTCACTGCCTTCCTGTATCTTGCCATGTTTAGTGCAGTTGTTTGGCACGACTGTTGTAGAACATGATCTTGTACTTGAGCCTGATGATGTTTAAGAGTGCGAAATATCTTAGTGTACGAGGCGATTGAGATCACTGAGCATGAAAGTATAACTACAGTTCCATACCAAATGCTTATTCGAGTATGCGAAACGGAAAATGATGCAGCGGCGACGGATAAAATCCAAAAAGTAGCTGTGGTGATACACGTGCGCTTTAAAGTTACTATTTGTCTATATCTTATTCCCAACAACAGAGCGAGAAGTCTGTCCACGCTTATGGCCGTCAATGTCAACAAAGACACTAAACATAATGCATAGCTTGATATGTAGACTGCGCCCCTTGTGTATCGACAAAGACTCCAGTGTTCATGAACCACGGACATCCAATAAGTAGCAGCGAGAGGCTGAGTAACAAGACCTACCAACAGATCAGTTGTTGCAAGACAACGATACAAGAGTTTGGACGGTGGATGAAGGGAAAATTCCTTGTTAAGGGCAACAAGGATTAAAAAATTCCCAAGAAATGCTGTGATGGAGAGGAAAATGTTAACTGCTGAGAAATAAATGGATTTCTGTTGTAACCCAACTACCGAAGAAGGGGAACAAGGCAATACTTCATATGCTTCCGTCTGTGTTCCACCCTCTGTTGAGTTTGTCGTCGCAATCATTGTGCATCTCTTAAAACGGTTTTTCTCCTTTCGCTGTGGTTTTTTGGAACTGCTGACACCACGGAGGAATACTTCTTCACAGCTACCACCTGGCCAAGATATTATCAGCTCTAAAAGCTTCTGCAACGCATCCTACTCGTTTTAAATAGGTTGAACGAACTGTCCGTCGAGACTATTACATATTTACACATCTACACCTTTCTTGAAATTTTGAGGGTGTGCCTTGCATCAATAAACCCCATAAAAGGTATTCCTCTGGCTGATAAATTTCATTCAAGAACGCTCTTTAAATAAGAGCTGAAAAAAATTCAAGGATAAAGACATCTGTTAATTTATAATTTTTTAAAAAACCCTCTCTTTAGATAACAAAATTAGGAATTGGCCCGGAACGGTAGAACTAAATCGATTTTAAGGATACTTGTCGATCCGCAAAATGACGTTCCCGCTGAAAAATCGCGTTCAATAAAACATTGCGAAAGTCTGCTGTCTTCAGCCAAATGAGAAGCTACAAAAGTGAATCACAATCTTTGTTTTCGGACTTACCTGAAACATCTATCGACCAGTCGCCGACCAGCTGTTTAGCTCCTCTTTGTAAAACTATAGAAAAGATGGGGAAGGAGATAATAAAAATTCAAATAACTTACCCGTCTTCCCACACGAAAATGTTCACGAAAAACAGTCTTGAAATAAATAAAAAACAGTTATAATTCCAAACACATTTAAATAACAACTGAAAATTAATCTATGACCGTAGATGTCAAGAAATTTGAAAAAAAAAAATGTTTAACGTTTCGTATCGTCACTTGTAAACATTTCCCAATCATTTTCTCTTCTTGTTGCATCTGATCAGAATTTATAAAAGGAACCATGACAGGTGCAAAATGTTACTTCACTAAACTATCACACAATTAGAAAGCCATTTCAATATTTATTCATTATTCCATCCTCCTTAATTTCTCACAGTCTCATTCGAACGGCAGCTGGTTGTGATCTTAAATTCTTCTCTTACATTTTCTTCGTTTTTAAATTTAAAATTACTCGATCGTGAACGCTGAGAGGCTAAAATTGATCTATATATGGTTACATGCATGCCGATTAAAATTTCAAAACATTGGAATACTCAAGAATTTTTTTTTTTTTTTTTAATATGTATTTTTTGTTTTTGAGTCGCTCAGAAAAAAAGTTTTAGGGCTTTCAAGTGATCGACAAATAAGGACCATTCATTGCACTCATAATTATTTGGAATTAAAGTTTAATTCGAAATTTAAATTCATAAAAAATTACTCGGCTTAAGGTCTCGCTTCTTTTGCAAACATATAATAACATGAGAAAATATCCTATAATTCAATTCCGTATTTCTCATTTTTCTGCAAAATAATGTGGTGTGTACCGACCATTCGTTTCGAATTTTCCTGTTAATATGATCAATATGCCGTGTCACGGCAACTGGTATTTTTCCACAATGTGGTGTGTATTGGCCATTCGTTTCGAATTTTCCTTTAAGAATGCTCAATACGAGTTAATTCTATCTTTTTTATCTTGCCCTTTAAATTTTCTTTCTGACAAACGATTTATTCAAAAAAGAAAGACATCTTAGAAACCGCGACGGTCAATTTCCCACCTTTCTTTTTTTTTTTTACTTTTTTTGTATTGGAAACTATGTGATTCCTCAAAATCATCCTCAGATTTTTCTAGATTTTTCTAGTTCCTACTAGAATAAATTTTAAAATTTTACGCATTTGGAATCGGCGAGACATTTGTTCCTGCAAAGCATAAATGATCTCCAATTGCATAACAAAAACTCTTGCCGCAAAATCTGTACATTACACAGAAATCTGAAATAAAAGTCAAAACCGTTATAACCTCCGAACAGATAAAGTTCTTTAAAGTTATTCGGTGGACTTAGATCCCAAGTTATTTCAAACAATGTCTCATTGATGTCGCATTATTGAAAAACATCTACAAGCTAATTATCTTCCCCCCTGCGTATGAAAAGAACGCAAATGAACTGCAACAGGTGAAAAATATAAAGTAACTAAACCAACGAACTGTTCATCCAATTCTCATCTTTACTGATTAACTTTCCTAACTTCTACAATATCTCCTATTCGCTAATTACTCTTTCTCTTTCAAGGCTGAGACATATTCCTATCTAAAACAGTTCATTTCGTGCAATTCTTATTAATCGTGCGCTTATAATCAGGAGTAGTTTAGTCTACAATAGCGCATTGTTATTATATGGCTCATTAGATCAATTTTAAAAACATGGAATAAGCAGAAGACAGCCTTAGTATTTTGCAGGAAAAAAAGCACCTTCTTCGCAGAGGCCTTGCCATACAGTATATTGGAAGAAAGTCAAACAGATAGCACCTCTCGGCATCTGGATGATATTAATTCTGCCTTTCAATTTGTCTTTTTGCCGACGGGGTTAGAATACTAAACAATGATACCGTGTTTTAATTTGATATTTATCAGCATAAATAGGCAAACACTAAAGCATCTAGAACACAGTAGATGCTGAAAAATCGTGTTTGTTTGATTCTATCTTCTTTTCCCTTCCCTTCAAATTACGCCTGGTTAGTACAAGTCTTACACCTCCGGGAAAATAGATCTAAGTCCATGGAAAGCAAAGTGTTTGTCGGATTGTCTGCTTTACTGCTTGTCTCACTTCTTTGACTTTCCAGCAGTAACGAAACGGATTCAAAGTGGAGATAAAATACGTTAACATAACGGTAATTCCATCAATAACGACTTCATGTAAAGAATAAGTTTTCCTATAAGTGATCACAAGCTTATTTGACCCCTTTACATCAATTTTCAAGCTAAGCTAAGCGACATCGCCCTCCGGTAAAATAATTTTCCAAGAATGAAGTGGCGAGCATGAGGAAACGCACATTTTTTTCATTATTGTGATAAAAGCCCAATGATGTACCTAAATTGGTACTTACCGTGTCAAACCATTGATTATGACAGGGTCAGCTTAATTTTTCTGTCGAGGTCGACGTGACTTCACATTAAAAGCGTTTTTGACGGAACAAGCTAGTGAGCATCACTGCACGAACTGACAAAATAAAAACTTGTATTTATCTCCCACGCGTTTCGTCTGACAATAGAAGACTTCATCAAGGAGTTTTACAAGTAGGGTAAATAAGCTTTCTCGTGTACAAATAGTAAATAAGTTGTCTCTTATATTGAAGCCAGTGGATAGAATTCGCCAGGTGCGCCATACGTGCGTGACATTTTTCTGACGTTATATGTACGAGAGCGTGATCCGTTTGAGGGTCACAGATTTAGGGGAAATATTTGACCCCTTTGCATCACGTAATGTCTCTAGTTTACAGAGGTCTTACGAAGCTTCATGACATGGATTTGCCTTCTGCGGGTAGAAGGCCGAAAGTGAATTTCTCGGGCGTAACTGCCTTTGATTTCCCAATTGATGTTGTCGCAAACACAGTTTTTGGGAGTCACGAAACAAAAAAACTTATCAGGACCTAGTTTCATGTTCTAATGGAAATAAATAGCAAATAAAACACATTCTCTTAAGAACTAAAGTTATAAATGAGAGTGGTTCTTTGCAATAAATAGTGATAGAAAAGGTTTCAGTTCTGGTCAATATTGACTTTTCATAGCCTACTGAGGGAACGCGCTGAGGGAATAAAAAAAAAACATACATGTGTGATAATGCAAGGCAGAGAATAAAAATTGAAATAAAGAAAAAGGAGAAAACTTAGGAATCCGTGTTGCAGCGTGCAGATATATTTTGAGCCAGACCTACGCACCTCAGCCCGACATCACGCAAAGAAACTCAAAAGAGTGCTGTATACGAACTAGCTTACACGTACACGCAGGAAAGGCTATGACAATCAGCGAAAATAATAGCAAATGCAGATGATATTTGCATAAAAAACGAAGAAAACAGGCAAATAAGATAAAATAAGGATAAAGAACTTTCTAGAAGTGTCTCCTTAGAAAAAAAAAAAAAGATACACAATTTTTACTTCTTATGAAAGGTCACGCAGTCACGTTACAAATACTATTTCTACGTGGAATTTCTTGACGGTGGAAAGTGGAAAAAACATTTTCCCGTCTTATTTTCTGGAAATACGGCGCAGTTAATGAATTTTATGGGCCTATTGATGTTTCCTATCAAATAAAGGGGGTAGAGTTTCTCGTCATCCGCGGTCTGGAAAAGCCGAAGTTGTTACACACGGGAACTTGAACGTCAACAAGCACGCGACATGTGACTTTAAAATCTCCACTCCTGTTACAGTTTCCTTATTGTGAACTGTGCGATAATGATAACAAACAATCAAATTATAGACTAATGAATTTTTTTTTTCTGTAAAAAAGCCCTATTTCCTGATTTTAACAAATCTTTAAAGTAATAAACGACAGAAGAAAGAAACGTTACGATTTTTCCATCGATTTTTCGCCTACATGCATCTCTCTAAACGTGAAATTTACCATTCCTACATAAAATCTCGAAAGTTTTTCACATTTTTATCTTTTTTGATCA